GGGGGGGCAGCTTCTGTGAGTGCTGGCCCAGGAGGTACAGGGGATAGGTCTGAGCAGATGGTCTGCAGTGCCACCTCTAAGAAGGGAGCTTCAATGCTATTCATAGGCTGCTCAGCCCCAGGGCCCATGGGCAGAAAGTCGGTGATGCTGAGACCAGTCGAGAATGGCCCAGCTCCCTCTGCCTGTCCAGCCTCAGAGCCATCCACTCCCTCTGCGGCAGACTTAAGGGCTGATGGTGCTGATGCACTTGGGCTTTGACAATCCCAACGCAGCTCTGTAGACCCCAGATCACAGCTATGGCCTTCCTCTGCATGCTCAGGGCCTGGAGATGTGACCTGAAACACAGAACATAGTGAACCCCTCCAGTCATCTAACCCCATCTCCCCAAGGTGAGCTCAGCAAGTGGTCAACACCTACTAAGTGTGGAGGGACATAAGGACAACCAAGCCAAAGCATTTAACTCAGCATCCCAGCAAGACTCACAAGATACTGCTAAAGTCTATTACCTGAGCGCATGTGGTTGGGAACACACTCACTGGCTCCTGGGGCTGGTGAGCCTCCATGTTTCTCAGCATCTCCTGGAATTCAAGCCAACAGGAAAAGAGAACAGCTTTGTAAAGTGACCAGCAGAGCTGGCACACACCACAACCTTCACAACTTATCCCTCATCCATCACATATGCCATCAGCCCTGCTGCCCACTCACACTTCCAGGATTGACTGGAAGCCTGAGCCTCAGTAAGTGCCATCGGTACCCTTATGCAACAGGATGACATGATACATGAGTGCAAGACCTGGCAGCTAACACTAATACCATACCTGAATGCACTTCTCATCTTCTAGGAGAAAACGAAGCCGGGCATTTTCTAGCCGGCGCCTCTGGATTCTCCATAGAGCCTTCTGCTCTCGACGAGCTGCCTCTGCAGACAACTTGCTATAATGGTCAACCAGCGCCTGCCTGAAGCCACATGCAGAGAGGACATGGTCACCACAACCACTCTGTACCATCTGGTGGGCAGCCATGCTCAGATTAAGATGGTTTCTCCACACAGGCTCCCTCCCCAGGCTTCTGTCCTCCATCTTCCCCACAACAGCCTGGGCTCCCAGGAAGGGCCTTGCTTCCAACCAGAATGAAAGGCTCCAATGGACAGATGCCCACATGGTACTTGGCAACTATCTATTGGACAAATTAGCAGAAGGAAAATGTACATGGCCAGAGACAAGAGAATAAGCAGGCGGCCAGGACCAGCCCTCTGGAACCAGGCCACATCTTCTTTACTGTACAGTAGACATCTTCCCATCCTGCAAGTTCAAACCCAAGAGAAATGGAGACTGACAACAAAACCAAAACAAACCCAGGGATTCCAAGCCTCCAATTTTGGGTATCTAGGCCCAATTAACCATCTCTATTTTGGCTGGCACAAGTCAGGAACATGTCCCTCTATGCCTGGTTTTCCTCATATGTGGTTCTACTCACATGTGTGTGCACATACCTAGCACATGCAAGAGGCAAGCTCTTCATTTGCTCTGTAAACAACATCTAAGGCTTGAACAACTGAGCGTCCAAGGGCACCATGCAAGATGTAGCCAGTTCCTGCTATAAAAACCTTCCACTGATCAATGAGACAGTTTCTATGACAAGCTAATGACACAAAGAGGAAACAGACTCAAGAACCATGCTAGATTAATGGCCCAATGCTCTGCTGGGCCAGGAACAGATTTAAAATAAGCATACCAAAGTTGTTTAAGATAAACAGAGCAAGTGTGGTAGCATATACCTATAATCCCAGCACTCGGAAGCTGAGACAGGAGGACTGTAGATTTAAAGCCAGACCTTGAGGATGTGGTTCAATGGTAAAGTACTAACTTGCCTGCAAAAGGCCCAAGGTTGGCTCCATGGCACCATAATAATCTTATGCACCAATAATAAATAATATTAATACACTATGTGCACTAGGACTGGACCTCAGAGCATAGCCTAAGAGCTCTAACCCCTTAGCCCAGGACAGCATCCTGGTTTAGCAGATTAGTCTCTCTATCTTGACCTATGTCTGATTTTTCAGAATAAAAACTAAAATAACAAGTTAGGGATGTTGCTCACTGGTAGGGCACTTGCCTAGCAACCTTGAGGGTCTTGGAATTGATCCCTAGCATCAAAGAAAAAAAGACAATGTAAAATGACTATCACTAGTAGGATTAAGCCGGCAGCATGGGACCTGCAGCCATACAGCCATACCTGGCCTTCCTCTCCAGCTCTTCCTCCAGAGCCTTTAGCCTCTTCTCACGGTCTCGGAGCTCACGGGCATAGCTGAAGTCATCTTCTAGCTCCTCTTGTCTGGCTGCCAGGCGTCGCTACACAGCACAAACAGCCTCATTTACTAGATCAAAGAGGAGCCATAACCACCCAGAACCCAGACCACCCACCTCCTGATCCTTCACAAACTGTTCCTTCAGCCGCTGAAACTGCTCTCGCTTCCGGGTGTCCAGAGCCATCTGTTCTGACATCTGCCGCTCTTCAAGAGAAGGTGAGAGACATATGCAGTTGTGAGGAGCCCAGCAGGGCCCAGCACAGCAGAGGAAATAAAGACCTGGAACTGCACTCACCACTTAGCTCACTCAGGACCCTGGATGCTGCTTCCCGGGCATGGACAATTAGTTCTTGTTTTGCAATTTCCATACGCAATTCCTAAAAGACAATATGTAAAACATAATGCCCCATCCCTTCCCCTAGGATAATATGGAGAGAACTGGCAATCCAAAACAACATGCTGCTGGTTACTGTTAACAGGTACCCTTCCCAACCTATTCAGAATGTTCACAGGTGATGCTTCACCCAAGGCTGGGGGACAGAGACCTCTGGCTTGGAGCAGTGAACAGGAGGTGACTATGTACCCAGAAATAAATGAAGGCTCGTGGAGCATTCCTACTCCTGAGTCTATCCTTGCCTGGGTCTCTTCCTGCTACCCATTAGACACCAAGCCAGGAAAAAGTTCTTGTCATCGGCCCTGGTCAGTCACTAACCTCTCCTCCTGGGGGACACTGGGGAATTATGGTACTGCTTCCAGGCATAAACCCAGTAAAGGTTACCCAAGTGGAGGAACTTTATAGGCCTTGCTGCCTGGAATTTCCAAATGGAGCCACCCATGTTGGTAAAACCTGGAGTGCAGGTAAGGCTGCCCAGAAAAAAAGACAAAGCCCTTGGCCTGAACACCTGTCACCAGATTTTTTCCGATTTTCCTTGACACACTGCCAAGTACCTTGGGTGTCCCAACCTACACATACAACCAGGACAGAAACACAGACAGAACCACTCTGCCTGACATGCCCCACCCCCAGTACTTCTTTTGCTTCTGAGTTTGCCTGGCTGCCCACTATTGACCACCAGGCACCATGCCAGGAGTTGTCATCCAGATTGGCACAGGAACACCCATGGGGTAGGGGAACTCCATCAGCCCAAAACCTCAAGTGAAGGGAAGGGAAGTGTAGGGGAAGTGCAGAGAAAGCCCAAAGTCCTGCAGCCAAGTACCTTTTCCTCCTTGCTGATGGAGCTATGACGTGCAACTCTCTCCATCCGCCCAACATAGACAGCACAGTCCTTCTCAATCTCCTTCAACTCCTCAAGAGAGAAAATAACTGAGATCCGAGGGACAGGGACATCAGACCAACAAAGGTAGTGCTGCCAAAGAGGAAGAAGAGCTTCAGTGAGTGTATGACCTAGGTCAAGAACAAGAACCAAGTACTGAGGCTAGAGAGATGGCTCAGAGGTTAAGAGCACTGGCTGTTCTTCCAAAGGTCCTGAGTTCAATTCCCAACCATCTATAATGTGATCTGATACACTCTTCTGGCATGCAGGTGTATATGCAGGCAGAACACTGTATACATAATAAATAAATAAATCTTTAAAAAAAAAAAAAAAAACAAGCAACCAAGCCTTGTTCCCAAGTTTTCAGTGATGTATGCAGATGGTCATTTTTCTCTTGAAAAGTTCATTGCTAAATCTGGAAGCAGCTGAAACCCTTGATGGCTTCACAAAACAAGTAGCCCAACAATGGAGACACCATACAGCAGAGGTGGAATCAGAAACTGAGGAGCATGTGAGATCTCATCTCCCATGCAGAGGACTGTGGCAGCAAGCACACTAGCACCTACCAGTCAGACTGTCCCTGGACAGACCTGGCCTTTCACTTATACACAAGGCTGCCCACCCAGCCAGCAGGACCCTCACCCGGGGACAGCAGAGCTTCAGTAGGTTGATGGTCTTCCCACAGACATACACATCATGGGCAATGTGTTTCAAGAACACAGGAACACAGTCCTCCACCTCCTTGGAAATAAGCACGTAGCCATGGGTCCAGTAAAATTTGTCTGAACAGAACATGAACAGAACATGATGACCTGTAGTTTGGATGGCCCTGACCCCAGGCAGAGGGCACAGTCTAGCAGTCAGTGGCTGCTTACCTCTGAAGCTGAGGTACTCATGGTTAACTTGGATCATGAACTCCCCATAAACATCTCTGAAGACTCCACTGTACACCCAATCGTGGATGAACCTGTAGGGTAATGGGGCACAGGGTTAGGGAGAAGAGGAGAGGTAGGCAGGTGTGGAGGGCTGCAGGATAGGTGTGGCAGACAGGCGGGGTCAACTGAGTATGGCCAGTCCGCAGAGTGAAATAAGACACTATGGGTGGGTATATCTCCTACCTACTGTTTATCCAGCTTCCACAAGGACCCTGGCACCCGGTGCATCTTAGACAACAGGAAACTCAAATACATACTTGTTCTAAGTGAAGCCTTCCCCCGTCACTACAGGGAGACTGGGCATGGCCAGTACAGGCCACTCATCACCTACCGTGTGTAGGGCTCACAGCTGGTCTTCAGCAGAGACAGCAGCACAGGATAGTGCTCATTACTACAGTTATCCAGTGCCTCCTGGTAGAGGTAGGACAGGAGCTTCACTCCCTACAACAGTGAGGAGAAGCAGGATGGGTGACAGCCACTGCGGCACATGGCACACTGCCTATCTAGGCAAGATGACTAGCAGACCACAGTAGCAAACTTGACAAGAATGCACAACTCAGAGGAGGCATGCATGCTCACACTTGAGGAAAGGAAGGACTCACGGTAGGGAACACAGCTCTGGGTTCTCCACTGGTTGCCAAGGATACAGTGCCAACACCACAAAGCTCAGCCAAGTACCTAGACACAGAATCAAGATCAGATCAAGTGACAGGAGCTCGGGGTCCCAAGAACCAGATCAGACTGAGCAAGCTAAATTCATTTTCCCCTAAGTAACTGGTCTACACAGGCTTTAAAAACTACTTGTACCTCCAACAAACCAGACCTAAGCACTCTACTGGACCCCTACCCGGCACTGTTTCCTGTGCTGTCCTCCAGGTGGCACTAACACATCCACACTCATTGGGTGGACCCATCGCCCCACCTCATTCTTACCTTGACTCCTTAGCCCCACACTAAGAGGTGCCATTTGAAACCTCTGCCTTGTTCCCACCTTGTCTGACTAGGATGAGCACCAATCACCCTCATGAACCCCTACCCTCTCTACCCTACTGCTGTCTGTGTTCCACATGACCCCCCAAATCTTTGCTGCCTAGAGAATGTCCTCCTCCCATATTATCTGTCACTCCCAACTTTCAATGGATAGCACCTGCCAAGAGACACCATGCCTGGCTGCTTATTGATGAGCTTATGAGAGAGGCTGTCCACTGCCTTCTCTCCCCGCAGCGCTATTGAGGCAGGAATCCCTGGGCCAGGCAAGGCCGTTGTTATAGGCAGACAGCAGTCACATTCCATGGCACATAGTGACCAGCTATGTATGGACTGCATAGACAACCAAGGACTGTTCTTTTGGGCTGTCCTTGTCAGGGAGCAGAGCTGGCTCTCACTGTCCTGAAAGCACCATGCTAGGCCAGTCCTGAGGCTTACCTGAGCTGCCGGCCCAGTTTCTTGAAGAGAAAGCCAATGGTAAGGAGACTCAGGGTAGGTGGAGTGGAGAGAACACAGGCCCGGTAATACTGCAAGTACCTCCTAAGGCCACTGGTGAAGGCCTGTGGGCAAGTAGGAGAAGTACAGCTGGGACATGGAGACAATCATGTGCTCAGGGCTTGGAAGGGCAACCCAAGATAGAAAACAGAGCTGTTTTTCCATGTTGTAGCCTGGTGACCCCATTTCCCAAGCAGTGGCCATTTATGACTTAAGCCCAGCCAAGAGGAAGATGCTTTACTGGAAGACATAGGTTAAGATTAGGGATCTACACAGATGCAGCTTTGGCCCCTTGCATCACACTGCCACAGGGTCACCCTGAAACAAATCCTGTCCATCTACCTTCACCTATCTTCCCTACATCCCAGGAAACCAGAACCAAAGCCTCACCTCCCATGGAGTCCCCTCTCAGACCCATTCTATAACACCTGAAACCTCTGGTCTTTCCCATGCAGCTCCTGATACACCCCTGAAAATTATGTGGGATAGTGCCTCCATCCCTTGTCTGCTGACTTTACCGCATATCAGAGCTTGAAGGGGCCTGTGTAGCCCACCTCCTCCTAAGCTGCCCCCCCCCACATAACTGCCCATGCTTTCTACACAACACTGCTCAACTGCATACCTGTCCTCGCCATCCCAGACCCTGGAAGAGTGTACCAGCACACAAGCCAGCTACAAATTTTTCAATATACAGAAAATCCTGGGTACCTCAAGAATCATTAAAACAGGAGATCCACCTTGCCATACACCATACAAGACAATGGGGAGCAGGGGGCTTGTATCTGACTTTCCCACCTTATAGCACTTGGTCCTTGCCCTCAAATTCCCTAAGTGTTCATGCCTGCCTCCCTCTGTGCCTTTACCCAAATACAATTGACACAGAGGTGCAGTGGACTAACAGATAAGTCAGACAATCTCAAGCCACCCAGCTTCTTAAGATAGACTCAGGGACTCAGAACCTAGAATTCTGAACTCGTGATTCTTCTGTCAAGATAGCATGGTTCTCACAAAGGCATACCTGGAACACAAGGCCCCTGCTACACACGGAGCCCACGACAGGCTGCAGAGAGAAGTGGCTCAGGCGTGTGTAGTAGGTTCCATACTCCGCCACCTCTGAAAGGATGCTGCTGATACTCTCAGGAGATGCACCTGAGACATGGACACCCAGCTCCACCACAAAGGCTTGAGTTGCCTACAGAGCAGAAGAAAGGAGTTACAGAGGCCAGACACCAAGACCTTGTTGTGGATATAAACATGTTTTTGTTTTGGTCCCAGGTGTGGGATGTGAGACTGATTCAGATGGTCCATAGCAGCAGACTATTTGCTTCGTGCGGGCTCTGAGAAGAGCTCTTTGCCAGCTACAGATAGTTTAAATCTGAGGACTCTGAAGAGAGAATAAATGCCAGAGACCAGAGTGTGGAGAAGAGAAAGAACAAGGCTGCTCCTGCTTCCCCCTTGCTGCTCCTGGTTTCTGCTGTGAGACAAGAAGTTGGAGATCTCCTGATATGAGGACTGGACTGACTCCCTAACCAGGAGGGAGCAGCTAGTGCGGTCCCTCTCCCACTAACCCTTTCTCCTACCTAGTGTTGGGCTGTTGGAAGGGATTGGGATGGAATAGGGAAAAAAAGATGTAAGAAATGTAAATAAGAGGCTTTTTTTTTTGTCCAAGTATGCCAACAAGACCCCAATGTGATGTGATTCCTTTTCACCCATGGGCCCATCTGACATACAAAGTTCCCAAAATTCCCCAAGTCCAAGACACACAAACAGAAAGCAAAATACAAGCCAAGGGGATGGAGAGATGACTCAGCAGTAAGTGAACAAGTATTACTCTTGCAGAGGACCTGAGTTTGGTTCCCAGCACTAACACTGGACAGCTCATAATTACCTTTAAGTCCAGCTCCATGAAAACCAACACCCTCTTCTGGTTTACTGACACAGAAATACAAAACCCAGGAGTGGTGGCACACACCTTTACTCCCAGCACTCGGAAGGTAAAGGAAGATGGACCTTTGAGTTGGAAGCCAGTCTGCTCTACAAAGTGAGTTCTAGGACAGCCAAGGCTACACAGAGAAACTTTGTCTCAAAAAAAAAAAAAAAAAAAAAAAGCAAAAGGTAGAGAGAGATCTCCTTTCAGAAGATCTGAGTTTAGTTCTAAGCCCCAACCTCACGTGGCTGACAACTGCCTGTAACTCTAGTTCTACATGGCCAGACACCCTCTTCTGGTCTTCAAAGACACTGTGTTCATGTGCACAAACCCATGCCCAGGTACAAACATATACACATAACTTTTAAAATGAAGAAAAAAAGTACACATGGACAGCTTTCTTGGAATATATCTGCTACTAACCCTTAGATACTGGCTTCCCAGATCCTGTCCAAAAAAATTGCTGAAGTCTTGTCATGGTGCACTCCCTACAATACTGTTAAAGCTGTAGAAAACAGAAATTACCTCAGAGGGCTCAGTACAACCAAAACAGTTTAGGTACAATGAAAACAGCATCAGAACAAAAGTAATAACAGTAAATGTCAATACTGCAAAAGAAACATCAACAACCATACTGTCTACCTTAAGAAATTACAAGATAGGCATGATGCCACACACCTGTAAGCCCAGCATTCAGGGAGGCAGAAGCAGGCAAATCTCTGACTGGTCTACAAAGTGAGTTCAGGACAGCCAAGAGAAACCCTGTCTCGAAAAAAACAAAAAACAAAAACCAACAACAAAAATGAAATTACAAAAAGAAATGCAGTTCAGGGGCTAGAAAGATGGCTCAGTGTTTAGAAGCACTGGCTGCTCTTCCAGAGAACATGAGTTCAACTCCTAGCAACCATATAGCAACTCACAACTATCTGTAAATCCAGTTTTAGGGGATCAACACCTTCACACATGCATACTGGCAAAACACCAATGCACGTAAGTTAAAATTCAAAAAATCATTAAAAAAAAATGCAGTTCTAATTTCCCAAACTAGCAAATTTTAAAATATATATGTATTAATATATATTATATTATATATAAATATACTGTATATAATTATATATTATTATATAAATATATTGTATATAATTATATATTATATAATATTATATATTATAAACTGGGCATTGTGCTCATCCCTGTAATCTAGCAAGCAAGTGGATAGCGAGTTTGAGTCCAACCTGTCCTACACAGAGACTCTTATCTCAAAAACAACAATTATTGCTGGGCATGTGGTGCATTCCTTAATCTCAGCACTCAGGAGGCAGGGGCAGATAGATATCTGTGTGAGTTCAAGGCCAGCCTGGTCTATCGAGTTCTAGGACATCTGTTGCACAGAGAAACCCTGTCTTTAAAAAAATTTGTAAGAAAGAATCTGGGCCAGCGAGATGACTCAGCAGGTACAATGGCTTTTTTAAATGTCAGCTTGGCATTGGCTACAGTCAACTGAGAAAGCGCTCCTATCAGCTTGGCCTGTGAGCAAGCCTACAGTGCATCTTCTTGACTGATGGTTGATGTGGGAGGGCCCAGGTCACTGGGCAGGGAGTCCTAGGTGGTGTAAGAAAGCAAGGCAAGCAAGCCATAAAAGCAAGCTAGTAAGCAGCACTCCTCCATGGCTTACGGTTCAGTTCCTGCCTCCAGATTACTGCCCTACTTGAGCTCCTGCCCTGACTCCCCTCAGTAACAGATTGTGTGTTAAGCCAAATAAGCCCTTTCCTTCCCAAAATGCCTTTTTGGTCATAGTGTTTTACCATAGCAATAGGAAGCCTAATTAACACAGCAGGTAAAGCTGCTTCCACCAAGGCTGATGACCTACCTGAATTTAATCTCCAGGACTCATGTCCTAGAAAGACCCAACTCCCAAAAGCTGCCCTCTGGCCTCTACATGCACACTGTGACAAATGTCCCTGCCCCTCCTACCAAGTAAATAAATGTAATTAAAAAAGAAAAAAGCCTGGGCTGGGATGTAGCTCAGTGGTAGAGCACCTGACTAGTATGTGCCAGGCCCTGAGTTCCATCCCCAATAATACACACAACAGACAAGAGATAACTGTATGTCAACAAATTACATAGTCCAGATCAAATGCAAAACTTCTTACTCATATAAAGTAACAAACCTGACTCTAGAAAATAGAAATCAACCAACAAGAAGTTGAGCAGTGAGTCTGTGGTCATGGCCTCCTAATAGAGTAACTAGTAAATTCTGTCTTACGTGTGTTTTAACAGCTTAAGAAAACAACAGGGGGCTGGAGCAATGGTTCAGCAGTTATGAACACTTACTAGTATTGCAGAAGACCTGGGTTGGGTTCCCAGCACCCACATGGCAGCTTACAACCACCTCTCACTCCAGTTCCAGGGGAATCCGGTACCCTCTCCTGACCTCCACAGGCACCAGATACACACTCACAGATATACATTCAGCAAACTCATACACATAAAAAAATAAACAAGTTTTTAAAAAGAAAAAAAAAAAAAACAAAAAAAAAACTTGCAGCCTTGAAAAAAAATCCTGAGGGCTGGAGAGATGGCTCAGAGGTTAAGAGCACTGGCTGTTCTTCCAGAAGCCCTGATTTCAATTCCTAGCAACCATATAGTGGCTTACAACAATCTATTAATAGGATCTGGTGCCCTCTTCTGGCAGGGAGAACACTATATCCATAATAAATAAATAAATAATTACAAAGAAGGAGAAATGAAATCCTGGACCCAGACAGGTGGTGGTAGTGCAAACCTTTAAACCCAGCACATGAAAGGCAGGAGGTCTCTGTGAATTCTAGGCCAGTCTGACCTACAGAGTAAGTTCCAGGACAGCCAGTCTTGAAAGCCTGAAAGTTCCTGCAAGCCCATCTTGAAAAATCAAAAGAAAAAATCCTGACCCCAGTGGCTTCCCTAGCATGTGTGGGCCCTGGTTTCATCCCTATCAATGGGAAGACTAGCGGTGGGTATTAAACTTCCTGTACAAATTAACAGAGTAAAACAGAAACTAAAGACTCACTCTCATGCCTCATGGTTCTTTATATTTATTATTATTTAGTTTTTATATATGTGTGTGTGTGTGTGTGTAACCCTGGCTGTCTGGCTGTCCTGAAACTATGTAGATCAGGCTGGCTTTGAACTCATACAGATCTGCCTCTGCCTCCCAAGCGCTGGGATTAAAGGGTGTGTATCACTATGCCTGGCTGGTGAACTGCCTTTAACTGCTGAGCCACCTTGCCTCTCCTCTCCACATTACTGTTACTGGTGTTTTGAGTCTCACTGTGCAACTCTGTTCGGCCTGGAACTCAGTATGCAGACCAGGCTGACCTCTGCCTCCCGAGTGTTGAACTGAGGCATTTTCATGTGGGTCCTCACTGATTGAGACTTAAAACTCAGGTTCTCATGCTTGCATGGCAAGCATTTTACCAACTATGCCATCTCCCCAGCCCTACTTTTGATTTGAAAGAGTTTTATGCAGCCCAAGCTGGCCATAACTATGTAGTCAAAAGTGAACCCTGATTTTCCTATCTCCAAATCTAAGATGGCAGGATTAAGTTGTGCGCTACCACAACCACCTCAACTTTCAGCAGAGATGGCACGATCACTCAACAGAGGAGGAAAGCCTTGTACTCAGACGGCAAAGGAAGAGGATCAGGACTTCAAAACAAGCAAGCAAATGAAAGGGAGGAAGGTATCAGGATAGCCTTAGCTTTGCTTCTTATCATTTTCCTATTTTTTTCTCTTATAGACAAGGTCTCACTATGTAGCTTAGGCCGACCTCAAAGTTGTTATCCTCCTGCCTCTGCCTCCCAAAAGCTTGGATTTCAGGTATGAGCCATCATCCTCAACTAGGATGACTTTTCCAACAAATGGTGTAGTACAACTGGACACATACAAAGAACAAATTTGGACTCTCCCATCCTAGGATGCAAGTGGGAGTAGATGAAATACTTTCTATTATCTCACTGACCATGAGTGATTAATATCTTTTGTTCAATCATTTAAAGAACATTAATAAGTCAACACTCTTAAAATTCAAACAGAATTCCTGTTTTGTTTTACAGTATTGGGGAATGAACCCAGGGCCTCTCACATGTTAGTCAAGAATCCCAACACTGATTTACATACCCAGCCTAATTTGTGGCTATCTTTAATCAGCCCACAGAGCTGGCCTTCCCTGCCACTCATAGCGCTGGATCCCAACCTACCCCCTAGCATGCTGAGCAGGCCGGGAGAGCACATGCTGTTCCATACAAGGTTGGTCCCATGATAGCTGTGAGCCCTTCTCACCTGACAAAGGGAAAATGTAGCAGACACAACACCCAGCAGAACGTTCAGTGAGTCTTTCACCAGCTCGCTTTCCTCCACAAGCACAGGCTTGGGAGCCTGTAGTAGGCCCCCACTGAGGGCCTGTAGTTCTCTATGACAGAGCCTACAGAATCTGTCAAAGGCATCCCTCCCTGCCTCAGTGAGGTAGGGCTCCTCTCGGTGACCAGGGGGCCTGTGAGGAAGACAGAAGAGAAGAGTATGAACAGATGGAATAGCATATACCTTAATGCCAGGTATGTTTTCACCAGGCTGCAACTGAGTTTCTCAGACAAATGCCGAGGTGCCCAAAGCAACACCCAGTCATGGTCAACAAAACATGCCATGACTCACAGAGTTGTACCCTTCTTGTGTGTTGTTATCTGTGTATATATATTGTTAGGGGGGTTGCTTTGCATGTATGTCTGTATACCACATGCATGCCTGGTACCTGCTGAGGCCACAGAAAAGTATTAAGATTCCCTGGAACTGGAATTACAGATGGTTGTGAACCACCATGTAGGTGCTAGGAATTGAACCTCAGGTCCTCTTAATCATTGAGCCAACTCTCCAGCCCCATTATTTCATTAATAGGGGTGTATATGGGTGTTTTGCCTATATGTATGTCTGTGTTCCACATGCATGCAATGCCTGCAGAGGCCATAAGAGGGTATCAAATCCCCTGGAATTAAGGTTGTAGACAGCTGGGTGACCCAGCCTGGTCTACAGAGCAGGTTCCAGGACAGCCAGGGTTACACAGAGAAACTCCATCTCAAAACAAAACAAAAAATTGCATGCTAACTTAAAATAAGAAAAAAATGGGGCTGGAGAGGTGGCTCAGCAGTTACGAGCACTAGCTATTCTTCCAGAGGACCTGGATTCAATTCCCATATGGCAGTTTACAACTGTCTGTAGCTCCAATTCCAGAAGATCCAACACTCTTACACAGACATACATGCACGCAAAATACCAATACACATCAAATAAACAATATATTTACAAAAAAATTAAGGGCACTAGTACATACCCAGACTTAGTGGCGCTACTCAAGAGACTAAGGCAGAAAGATCTGAGTTCATAGCTAGCTTAGGTTATATAAAAAGTCCCTATCAAAAAGAAAGAGAGGGCAAGGAAGCAAGCACAAGCTAGTTAGCGGGGCTCTGCACTGTATGTCCGCCACAGTGCTCGTTCTGCAAGAGGTTGTTTTTTAAAAGCTTTATTTTACTTCAGGTGTGTGTGTGGCCACCATATAAAATGGCCAGAGGCCTCAGATCCATTTCACTTGAGCTAGGGTTACAGGCAACTGTGAGATGCCCCATGTGGGTGCCAGGAACTAAGAGTAGGTCTTCTGCAAAACCTAACCATGGGCCATCTCTTGAACCCCACATTCTGCCTTTTCCATCCTCACTCCAGCCCCCAGCACTCTGCACGTTATTACTATGCAGCACATTCCATCTCCTCCACAGTGCACTTTCCACATGCTATACCCACCCTGCACACACGTGTGGAGGAACTGTGTCCTCAGAAAGTAACCTAACCATGAGCCATCATGAAGCCTGAGCAACAGGGCAAGTTCAAGGCCACCCTGGGCTATACAGTGAGACTCTGTTCCACACAAACTACCCATGGAAAACCTGTTTTACTAATGCTTTGAACCCAACAAAGGTATTCCATTATTTCCTACTACAAGTTTCTTGATTTAAGATTTCTTTGTACTTTATATGCATGGGTACTTGACTGAATGTATGTCTGTGTACCACATGCATGCCTCATACCCTCAGAGGCCAGAAGAGAGCATCAGATCCCCTTCTGACATTTGTTACAATTAGCTGCCATGTGGGTTTTGGAATCGAACCTGGGTCCCTTGGAAGAGCAACCAGTGCTCTTAACTACCAAGCTATCTCTTCAGGCCCATTTCTTGATCTTTTTGTCTTTTCCTTTTTTTTTTTTTTTTTTTTTTTTTGGTCTGGTTGTCGTTATGTTTGTTGTTGTTGTTTTGAGACAGTTTCTCTGTGCAGCCCTTGCTGTCCTGGAACTCACTCTGTAGAGACCAGGCTGGCCTCAAACTTAAGAGATCTGCCTGCTTCTGCCTCCCAAGTATTGGGATTAAAGGTGCGTGCCACCACTGCCCGGCCCTTTTTAAAATTTATCTTTTCTATGTCTGAGTGGGTATGGGGAGGTAAAGTTATGTGACTCCCATGGGATCCATAGAGGATCCCATGCAATGGACAACAGCATCTGATCCTCTGGAACTGGGCTACAGAGGGCTGTGAGCTACCATATAATCCTAGAAATTGAACCTGGGTCCTCTAGAAGACCATCCAATGCTCTTAACCACTGAGCCATCTCTCTAGCCCCTTTCTTGATTTCTGTCTGACTAATCTCTCGGGGTAGTGTTCTTCGTCTTAAGACCCTACATAAAAATTCCTCAGATGCCAGGAGCAGTGATGCATAAGTATAGGACTAGCTATGTGAGAGGCTGAAGTAGGAAGAACCCTTGAGCTCAGGAATTTGAGGCTAGCCTGAGCAACACAGCAAGACCCTATCTTTGGGAATATAGCCGTTCTTGCAGGAAACACTGCCTGAGTGCTACTTTGTGCTGGAGCTCTATACTAAAGCAACTTAGCGAGGAAAGGGTTTATTTGGCTTATACTTCCATATCACATTTCATCATTTTTTTAAAAAGTCAGGCTAGGAACTCATGAGTTCCTTAATTAATAACTGATATAGGAGGACCCAGTCCAGTGTAGGTAATCCCTACACAAGTAATGGGCTAGTGGTCCTGGACTCCGGAAGAAAGCAGGCTGAGGAAGCCATGACGAGCAAGCTAGTAAGCAGCACCCCTTCGTGGCCTCTGCATCAGCTCTGGCCTCCAGGCTCCTGCCCGCCATGAGTGCCTGTCTCTCTGTGCTTTAAAGAACACCAGAAGGATGCAGTGTGTTCACAATGGAAGACAAATGAGCTAAGTGACCATGTCTTCCAAACAATGACCCAGAAAAGTTACAGATGAAATAACACTAATAAATATTTACAAAATAAAGCAGCAGGCTGTAAGATCAATTTTTCAACCTGTAAGAGGTTGGTAGAAAGGAGGAGCACTTGCTATATACAAACAAGACAGGATCGAAACCCTACTGTGAAGTTACAGGACAGAGAAGGCTACCAACAGCGTTTAAGCTACAAAGCATGGAGCCGGCCATCCCTCAAGGGATCCAAATGCACACTGATGACCATATCTAGAAAAGTTCCTCACATATGGGCAGTGCCCTACACACAAAAAGGCGTTATCACTCCCCATGATCCCTAGAGAGCCTGCAGAGGGCACCCAGAGGCTGCATCACAGGATGGACGGCGCCTCCCACCCTGACTTCTTTCTTCAGTGCTTCTCAATTGTTTTCCCAGACTGAGTAATAAAAGGGTGTGAAGAGGGCTCCATGAACAAGTGTCCTCAATTCTCATTCTGGGTATTACCAAAGGGTACCAACTCAGACCATGAGAGGAACTGAAGACAGAGACCCCTGAACCCAGATACACACAGAGTACACTCAGGGAAGGGCTGTTGTGGCCAATGCTTCTACCAGCAGAACACACCACATCCATGGCTTCTTGGAGTACTTTCCAGGCATTGACCACACAGAGTACTAGCCACTCTACACTCCTGTCTAAAACTCCTGGGGGAAAGACAGACTGAGTAAGTATGAACCGCAGAGTTAACTCCACTGAGGCTGAAGGATAGAGGTGTTCCTTTCCCCTCCACTTCTCTCATGAGCTTACCCGAAATGTCAACCTCTTAATCTTAATACTGATGTTTCTACAAACAACTGCAGTCAGAATTCTGGAATTCTGGTTTCTGTGAAAACACAGAAATATAAAAATATGCTTTCGGGGCTGGAGAGATGTCTCAGCGGTTAAGAGCACTTTCTACTCTTCCAAAGGACCCAGGTTCAATTCCCAGCACCCACATGGCAACTCACAATTGTCTGTAACCCCAATTCCAAGGGATCTGATACCTTCACACTAATGCACATAAAATAAAAGTTAAAAAATTATTTAAAAAATATGCTTTCATTTTAATCCCAGATGTGGGGATATGGGGTTGTTCTGGACTGTCCACAGCAGCTGACTATGATTTGTCTCTCATGCTCTGGCAGAGATGTGATTTTGCCAGCTGCAGATAGTTGTGACATTGGAATTCTGAGAACTTTTCAGAGGGGTAGATAAATGCTAGAGCCCCATAGGCAATGTTGGTTGCAGTTTGCCAAAGAAGAAACAAAAGGAAAGAAATTAAATTCAGGGATTTTTCTATTTCCTCTCACCCCTATCCTTCTAGGGGTGTTAGGGGGTAAATCGGGGGGAGGGGGAAAGCGGGGGGGGGGGGCGGAGGTAAAGGATGGGGAAAAAGAATCCACAAAGTAGTAAAGACAACTGCCAGCTAACACAACTGCCTGGGGTGTCCAAGATATGGGCAAAGGCACATTGCATTTAAAGGCAAAGAAAGGGTCCCATACCATCCAATGCGCTCCCAGCACCTCCGCTTGCTGGCTTCATATGTGAGCACAGCTTCCCACAGGTCCAAATCTGGAGTCATGCTTGGTTCAGACTGGGAGTCAGGAGTTAGATTGGAAGCTGATTGGAACCCTTCATCTTCCCACTGATCCACAACTTGTGGGACCTGGAGACCACACAGAAAAGTAATTCAGCATCTCTCTCTCTATGTTTGCATTCAGTAAGTGTGATATAACATTCTAGAACTTTATCCATATCTATCTATTCCCTACGGGTACAGACCTAGCAAAATATTCTCTTTTTTCCTCAAGTTACTATGTACCCCACAATGCACCCCTCCACAATGAATCAAATAAAGAAAGTATTCTGATATCAGTTTCTAGGCAGGTGTGGTAGTGCATGCCCACAGAACCAGACTGAGCTGCACAGTGACCTACCTCAAAATAAATAAATAAATAAATAAAAATAATGATGATAATAATAATAATAATAATAATAATAATAATAATAATAATAATAAGGTAGTGCCAGGTGTGGTGGCACACGACTTTGTGGAAGGGGAGGCAGAGGCAGGTGGATTTCTGTAAGTTCAAGGCCAGCCTGGTCTACAGAGCAAGTTCTAGGACAGCCAGGACTGTTACACTGAGAAACCCCGTCTCAAAAATCACAAAACAACAACAAAGGTTTCAATTTTTGATTTCTGTAAAAGATGGCCTCAGTTTAAGGAAAACAACATAAAAAGTCACATGGAAACTCCAGCACTCTAGAGTTGAGGCAAGAGGGTCTCCAGGAGTTTGAGGCCAGCCTGAGCTACACTGAAACCCTGTCTCTACCCACCACATCCTGTCAATCCTCAGGAGAAAAAGAAAATTATACTAAACCTGGAAAAGTTCATATACAACAAGATTTTGCTTAACCTAAATATTTTATAATAAAAAAAAAAAAACCTGGGGCTGGAGAGATGGCTCAGCGGTAAAGAGCACTGTCTGCTCTTTCAAAGGACCTGGGTTCGATTTCCAGCACCCACATGGCAGCTCACAACTGTCTGTAAATCCAGTTCTGAGGGACCTGACACCTTCACACTAATGCACATAAAATAAAATTAAATAAATTGTTTAAAAAAAAAAAACCTGAATAGTAATAGTTTGTCCTCTTAACAGAATTTACAAAGTAATAAACACAAGAGACAGTGACAATTTACTCAGTGCCTGGGGCAGAGGACTACATGTTACAAGTGAGAAAGTATACCACAGAGCATGCATACTAGGCATATTTAAAAATGTGACTTCTACAACTGAAGAACAGATTTTACTTCGTTTTAATTCTTCTGAATTTAAACTAACAGCACTAGAGAAGCGACTCGCTCTTGAAGTAAAATATGAGATTCCATGCTGTTTTTTACCTGCCGGTGAGCAGCTAGAACATCCCTGTGCAAGAAGATGCCAGCAAGTCCTCGCCAACACCTCTGCCTCAGGACAATCTGATTACCTGACGCCTGGACAGGAGCTTGCCAGCATTTACGTGGTAAAAGGTCAAAGGCATTTCCCAAACCTCTAGGGTTACTGGAGGGGAAAGAATACTACCTTAATGGCCAGTCCAGAGAAGTCCGCGCTGTCCGGCACAGGGGGCAGGTCCAGTCGCACATCCATGTCATACGTGCGGCTGTGCACAAGTGCACCAAAGAGTGAGACCCGGGTGTCTCTCTCAAACCTGTCACCACAGGAGTCACCAATTGAGAAGAGCCCAACAGTGGGCAGGCCAGTGCCTGGGGCAGCCTCCATCACCTGAAGTGCTTCCTGGACCATGTTATGACACAAATACTCCTCCCCAGAAATAAGTGACTGAACGTCCATTTCCAACACACTCAGGTCATAGCAATCGTAGCCGCTGTAAGGTATGTTTCTGCCCGCGTGCTTGTTGTTAAAGAAGTAATCCCGTTTTCTCCGCAGTACTTGAGGGGGGCCGCTCCCTGCCAGCTGAACCAGGAGGTCTAACACTGACTCCACTTCCACAAAAGGACAGTCAGGGGCTGCCTCCAGCTTCTCCACAAGCTCCTCCAAACGGTCGGCCTCTGGCCCCAAGCCGCCCACCCTCAAATCGAAGGACAGCATGAGGACCTTGTTTTTCACTGGGAGCTTCGACGAGTCAGGCTGCCGCTGGAGAGACTCCTCTTGAAAGAGATTTGCGAAGAGGGTATCGTAGGCTACCCTCTTAAGGCTCAGCTTTGCCCTCTTCCTGTTCAGGCTGCGCTGGCCAGGGCGAGCCTGGACAACAGGTAAGAGAGCCTCGCAGAGGTCATCGAGCAGCTGGGTGATGCTAGCCATATCTACCCTTCAGTCCTGGACCCCCGACTGGCAAACTTTGCACCTAGGAGGCACCTCAAGCTCTCAAAGACCAGAGCGACTGCGGGTGGGCAGGGCCAAATGGCCGACCGCTCGTCGCTTCACGGCTGAGAACTCGGCATCCGCGCCTCAGGTTTCGCGGGGCAAGAGGCCACGCCACGCGTCCTCCCAGTCCTCATCCGCCACCCGGCGCTCGTCCTCCGGCCTTACGGACCGTGACAAAGTTACCCACAGAATGCGTGCGTCCCATGGCCAACCCGCACACCCCAGACGCCTGAACTGGGACTCCCGCCGTTCTGACGTCAGACCCACGCGACAGCAGACAGCACAAAAAAAAACGCACAGGAAATACGTCACCGGAGGCGTTTTGGGAGGGGCGGGGCCGCGGCCTCGGCTTTCAGATAACACTCAGTAAGGGAAGCAGAGGTGGGTTCTGTGTAGCCTATGTTTATTGTTGAGGAGGGAGGAAGGCAGGGCCGCAGAGGGGATGTAGGTCTCAGGCCACGGCTCGCTGGAACCTAAGTGTACTCTTCTCCAAACAGGAATCGCCCACCATGACCGATTTCAAGCGACTGGAGAGCATGATCCTGGTGGAGGAACTGGAAAAGCACAATTGGCTTGCGCGGTGAACCTGGTTCCCCTTAGCTCTAAAGTAGGGCGGCGCCTCCCCAGGTGCCTCACCAGCCACCTGAAGCAACTTCCACCGAGGCTCCAGCTGAGCTTTTAGAAACATAAGGGCCTGGGTCTCCTCTGGCGCAGCCATCAAGAAAGGACCCAGACTGGGAGGTGCTTCTCCATTCAGTGCCTCTGCCAGGGTCCTTGCAAGCTGGAGTATAGATTCCTGGCCAGGGATAGGCGCGGGTGGGGTCCAGTGAGACATGGTTTCTGTCTTCCACCCATAGACCCATATCCACCCTGCCCAGTTTACCTCTTCCACTACAGCTAGAATTCGGCCCCCTACTGGGCCCCGAAGCATTGCAGCTAACAGAGCAGCTTGGGCGGTCTGCAGGCCATGGGAAGGCCCCAGTGCCATCAACACCACATCAGGTTGGAAGCCATAGGCCAGGGGCAGTATGAGACCCAAGAGGCAGCTCAGAAAACCCCCAGTCGTCTGTAGGGACAGCAGCAGAGCCTCAGGCTCTCATCTAGAGGACACAGCTGCTGGCTCCTGTCCCCATCCCCCAACCTCAGGGACACCCCAGAAAGACCAGGGGACAATGAGAACATGTCCAACAACAACACAGCCACTCACCTGTGGCAGTGGAGTGGAGATGTGGAACATGGACCAGACGGCTGCCTCCTTGCCCCGGATGTTCAGCCACAAAATTCTCCTTCCCAGGAGAGAGCACCATGGGCATGTATACATGTGCATGAGACCCTGCCTACCCTTCCCTGAGTTTAACAACAAAGGATAGAGGGGTGCCTGGGGTCCCAGGAGGGAGGAGGACACGAGTGACTGTCAGCCTGCTATGGCATTGCTGTCTGGGGCACTCACTCTCAGATTGCACCTGTGGAAAGTGCCCATTCTGTATACATCAGTGTCCCCACCCATGCACAACTGAGGAGGAGATGTGGAAGCTAAGAATCATACTCATCATCTGCAAGGTCCAGGGGTCGATCCAGCTGTCCCAGAGCCACACACAGCAGCCTAAGAAGATGACCCAGAATAGGCTGGGCTCACATTGTCCAGTACCCATTCCAAGGGTCCTCCCTCTGCCATTAGTCGGTACTCCCAGGTCCTTGGAGACTCAAGTCAACCAAGCAAAGTTTACCTCTGAGCTCCGTGAGATAGGCATCGCTGAATGACCACATCCAAAGTTGCTGCTATGGCAAGGGCAATTGTGGCTGCTATGCCGCTTCTTACCTATGGGGTAAATAACAGGCAGGGGAGTTAGAAGCTGACACACACCCTGTATGAAGCACTTTCAGGAGTCAGTGCCAACTCCCAAACCAGGTTAAACAAACCCATTTGCGCTTTGGCCTTTTCCAAAAGGCTCCTACTGACTGAATTTCCCTACACGACAGGGGCGTGGTGGTGCATGCCTTTGATCCCAGGACTGGGGAAGCAGAGGCAATCAGATCTAAAAAGTGAGTTACAGGGCAGACAGGGCTACACACAGAGAAACCCTGTCTCAAAAAAAAAAAAAAAAAAAATCAAATCACACCACTTCTAAAAGCAAGATGCTTAAAACTACACTTTAAATTATCTACTTTCTCTTGCCAAAGAGTATTTCCTGGACCCTACATGAGGTAACATGTACACGCACCACACTATCTTCAGCAGCTTCCCTACCTGCCCGTCCAGGAGTCCATCCAAGAGACACAGAATCTTCCCCAGTGCGGCAAGACCCTTATCCTGGAACTGGGACTTGTGTAATCTATGATGGGCGGGCCAAAGGGACACATGGAGACCAGTGTCATTTTATCAGTGACACAGGTACACGGCATGGACAGCCTCATCCTCCGATCTGCTCTCTTCACCTGACCCAGGCTTCGGTCTCCTCCCTCAAGACTGACTCTTCCTGATGGAGCACTCCAGGAGGTAAGGCCAGAGCAGCACCAGGCACCGTCAGGGCAACAGCTGTGCACACTGGGGGTGCAGGGCGGAGGCACAGTCTGTGCAGGAGGGGGCTCAGTGCCCCCTCTGCCTCTGCACACGTGGAGCTCTCAGCAGGCAGAGGCAGAGACCTCCCTTCAGGAGAGTGAGTGCTGGAACTCAGGCCTGGAGCCACACCTAAATGGCACAGTCACAGTCACTACAAAGAAGCCCAGGGTGAAGCCCCCAGCCCAGGTCCAGGCCATACTGACTGTATTGGAGGCTTTTCCAGTGACGGGCCTGGGCTCTCTGGACACTCTGGATGGACTCCAGGGCACTACGGGAAGAAGCAAAGTTAAAAGCCTGACTCCCACTCTAGCCCCTCCCCCACTCTCCAGTCTTCAAACCTCTGACAAGGCACCATGGGCCCGAGAAGGGGAGGTGCGGGATCACCAAGGAGTGTCTGCACCATCATGCACACTGACTGTGCTAGGGACTCCAAGCAGTATCCGCCCTAGGAAATGTCGAAATAGCACAGAGGAGGGGTGTCACTAGTGTGAGTGGCTGGGCCAGGCAGAATACCTAACCCTGACTGACCCTCACGTCTGGCTCCCTCCCCTGGCCCTTGGGCCTCCCCTCTGCCCTGCAGTTACCTCCAACACAGCGCAAATCCGGCTACCAGCCAGCACCTGTAGCAGCTGTGTGAGGTGGGCAAAGCACTCAGGTGTGGCCTGCATCTGCCCCTGGAGCACAGTGAGTCAAGTATAAGGGCCTCGGCCTAGGACCCTAGATTCCTCCCCAGCCAGGCCATGATCTCACCTCCGGGTCCCCAATTGCAGAGTCAAATCCTGCTGAGACCAGCACCAGCTCAGGGTCAAACTATAGGCAGTGGAAAGAAGCAAAAATGAGCCATAGCCCAGGTGAAGAGCAGGCCCCAGGGCTACCCACTCACATAAGGGCAGACTTTCTGAGGCACCTTCCCTACTTGCAAGGGTCCATTTATACACTGATGAAATGGCTTTCAACACTCCTGCCTTCATAGTGGAACTCTGGGTAAGTGCAGGTGCCCCAGGGGGACACCCACCACACAGTCACCTCAAAGGCCAATGGGAGCAGCACGTGCAAGAAGGCAGCCAAATAGTCAGCATTTTTCATCCCAACCTGCAGCAAGGTTAAAGCAGGCATCAGAGGACCAGCTGTACAAATGAGAACTTAAGGGTCTTCATCTCTGAACCCTGGGGAGACTCTTGCAAACATTCTCAAACCCAGAGCTGGGGAGCAGGAGAGGTAGGCTGGATGGAGGGCACAGGGGGACTTGGTACCTTGTTCCAGGGCAAATTGACGGTGAAGCCTTGGCCCTGCCCTTGCCCAACTACATCTGCGTCGGACTCTCGAAGGAATGGCCAGAAGTGCCCATGCTCATAGCGGTGCCAGGAGAAATAAAGGACACTGTAGACAACTGGCCAGGTCAGAAGTGAGGTCCATCAGCAGCTCCACAGCTTCTCAGAGAACCCTGACTCCTAAGACCCCCCCCCCCCGTCTCACCAGCTGAATTTTATCCCCAGAGTGGTGCATTGCAGAGAAGGGTTGTGTCCACTCCCCAGCTTACCTGGGGTCATCATCGAAGATATACTGGATGCCTTGGCCATGGTGGACATCCCAGTCGACAATGAGAATCCTAAATTCAGACAGTGCTGGAGATGACTGAAGGTAGCTGCATTTCCACCTTTAGGCCAGGAGCCCAGCCAGGGGTGGAGGGAGCTAGGTGGGATCTCTTGGCCACCAACTCCACCTCCGACTATTTAGTTTGGGTCCCCCAACACTTGCAGCAGGAGCTTGGACACACCTCTGCAGCCCGTATTTCTGCTTGGCATGTTTGGCTGCTATAGCCACATTGTTAAACACACAGAATCCATTGGCAGCTGCCCTTTGACTGTGGTGCCCTGGAGGCCTGAGGGGTAAAAGGGAGTTAGAGGGCATGTCAGAGTCATTCTGTCCCCTCACAGGATCACACACAGACAGCCAGGTTGGGAACCAGTTCTCACCTCACCAGGGCAAGCCCATTGTGCACAGCTCCTGTTAGCACAGCATCCACCAGCTTCAGTGCCGCCCCCACAGCCAACCGGGCACAGTGAAAAGTGTTCTGTGGGCCAGAGCACAGCTTAGTCTGCTGCCTGACCTGCTTATCCCGGGTCGCAGGTCTCCCACCGCTGAGCAGACAGGGCCGGGACAACGGCAAGCAAAACATGGCAGTCATACGGTCATAAGCATGAACAAGAAGACAGTGACAGCTCAGTTTGGGTGTGACTACACCTAGGCATGGGGATATAAATCTGGGTGAATGGCTGTGTATGCCAGTTCTCACCGGGTGGAAGTAGACAGCGTCATACTGCTTAGACAGTGCCTGAAGCTCCTCTCTGCCCAGGGTCTGGGTCTTCTGCACCAGGGCTATATATTCCGGGCTGCAGATCAGCAGGCAGGCCAACAGCAGGACAGGTAGGAGAGGAAGAACTACTTGTGGGAGGGGCCCACCCAGACCCCACAATGCCTTTGAGCCCACACCAAGTGAAACTGAGGGAATGTTGGCAGGGCTATAACAGGTTCAGGTCCCCAGACCCGTCATAGTCTGACCTGTGCACCAAACCCAACTCTTCCTCTGATGCCTCACAAGCTGACAAACGCAGACACCTTTGTTCTAGGCCACGCTGCCGCAGGCCATCCAGGGCAGCAGTCAGGCGCTCCGGACACTCAATTTCGCACTCGGGGCTGGAGCAGACAAGGATCTCAGTGTTCAGGGTTCCCTCCCCGACCCCTGCTTCTGTCAAGACACACTTACTCATCCCAGAGCAGCCGGGTGGCTGTCATGTCCTCGTGGTACACGAGTGCTGTACCCATGGCTACACTGTGGTCACTTTGATCCACTCTAGCGTAATACGCCCTCTGCCGGCAGGTGATTGCAATGCCTAGTCGCACCTAACAGCACGCTCGTAAACAGCTTTTCGCTTGGGACAGAGCCGGGTAGCAGACACTGGACCTAGGCAAGAGTTAACCACCCCAGGCCCAGGCCAAGGCTCAAACCCGGTCGATAATCAGGAGCGAATTGCTGGAAACTAAGCTAAGCCGGATCCAACGGGAGGCTCCAAACGCCTAGCTTCCGGCTTCCTCCTTCTCAGACTAGGTCCCGCCCTCAAGCGAGATTAGGGTGGGGTACAGGGGAAGGCTGCGCTCCCGGAAGATTACACCAGCGTCTCGGGACGTCTCGGGGTGGTATCTCTCGCTCTAGGAACTCAGCTGCAGTGCCACCTCCAGCAAAGTGTGGCACGAGGCCTGCGACCAGTGCCGCCGCCACTGTCTTGTCCCGGAATGGGTGGGAAGGCAAGGCTGTTTGTCCTCAGGCCACCGCTGCAGCCGCGGCTGTGCTCCCTTCTTCCAGAAGAGTCCTCCAGCCTAACCGGGTGGCCTACGGCACAGAATCAGACATGCCAACTATCCACCACATCCAATTTGCCTGCCCCTCCAGGTGAAGGATGAAGGGAAGTGAATAAGGTGTGTACGTGAGCGCACACGGGCTAGCCTGGGCTGGATCAAGGCAGAGAGATTCAAGAAGGGACTGACGAAAAGGCCACAGGGGAGAAAAGAGGCCACCGGAATGGAATGGAAGGAGCCAGGCCAGGCCAGCCAGGAACCCTGCAACACAGGGTGGAGGCAGGAAGGACAAAGGGTTCTGAGCAAGGAAGGGTGTTGAGGAGGGGGCGGTGGGAAGAAATAAAGGCGACACGAGCTCATGTCTGAACTATATATGTATTGTATATATGTATTTTGTTCCATAGTCCAGGCTTGCCTCCAGTTCTGAAGTCTTTGCTTCAGCCTCTTGAGTGCTGGGAGTACAAATGTGTGCCATCATACTTCCCAAAGCAAGACCTCAAGATGGGGGAGGGGCCACCGACACGCCCAGGATGATGAGAGGGAAGGGAGCAAGGCTGCTACTGACATCTTCGACAGAAACACACTACTATCAGACGCAGGGAAAACCAAAGAGCCCCGGAGCAGTTCGGAGCAGGTACCCACTGTACACTCAAGAGTTGGCGAGAAGGCCCAGGTCCTGACTGGTCCCAAGGCCTCTCCATCTTCTAAAGGCCAAAGGCATCAAATCAAGCAGAGAAACTCAGGACACTCATGACCACCCTGGGTTACATTTTTGTGGGTCAGGACCTGCAGTGAGCCATACCTCCACAATAAGGTGAAGCATTTGAAGGCCTGGACCATGGTTATCATAAGGGGGCTCAGGCAGAGGAGGCCATGGTCATGGCATCTCCTCTGACCAGATTAGACTGGGCAAAGTGTGTTTGCCCAGAACTTTTTGCCAAATGAGGGAATGAAAGACCCCAGCCTTATGTTCTGTTCGGTGCACCTGTCCGTAGGACATGGGGAAGAACATGGACCATCTAATCTGCTCAAGTGTGGCCTCTCATGTCTCATGGCCTGCAGATGACAGTGTAGGTTCAGGGAGGCCATGAGGGCAATGCCGGCAGAGAGGTAAGTTGTTGGTCAGAGAGTAGAACCCACCTCTCTGGGTCTTGGAGAGCCATAGACACCCAGCCCAGACTCTAAACCTCAGAGTACAGTCACTCAAGAAGAGAGGGGGCCAAGCCCTAATGTGGCTTGAGGACCTCCGTGGAGGACTAGGTGGCACCAGCACTCTGGCCTGGGAAGAGTCGGGGGGCCTGGCACCTTTACTAGCTGGGGGCCAGGGAGCTCAGGTTATCTCAGGTTTTTGTGCACAGACCAACAGCAGAGAACTGATGGGTGCTCGGGCATCAGGCCACACAGCCAGAATGGGAGATCTACAAAAGGGTTTATTTGCCCCCCGGCCACTTACGCACACCAAATGGCTGGTTTACATTCCAGGCGAAGGGTGTAAGAGAATCCACCCCGATCCCAGGAGAGACGATGTCCCTGAGTCAGTGCCCCCAAGACCTCGCTCTCCTTCCATCTCAGGAGTTGACCTTGGCACTGCCCAGAGCAAGCAGAGCTCAGGGACTAGCTTTTGTCTCCTAAGCTCTGCCAGCTCTGAGACTCTTTCATACACAGTGATGCGGGCAGCACAACTCCAGAATTCAAAGGCTAGTCCCATGTTGGGTAGGGGTCTCAGATGTTCTGCCAGGGTCATTTGGGGTACTCAAAAGCTGAAGAAGAGCAGGTTCTGGAGACGGAGGGTCCATGATTCAAGGGTCTACACAGACTCTCGGGATATGAGCCCCAGGCACCGTCAGAGTGCTAACCACGATTCCTTTTCCAGGGCAGGAAATCCAAGTTGTCTGTGAAGAGTCTCCGGGCCAGGCTCCTCAGGGCAGCCCCAGACCACCCAGAGGTCTTCATAGAGCTGTCTCCTTTGGAACTCTGGCTCCTAGCTGCCTGGGAGGCTTGAAGCTGAGCACTTCCTTGTAAGTAACACCTGCCGGAAGTGAGGAGAAGCAGATGCTTTCACCTATGGGGAGAGGCCAGCACCTCGTGGGCGGGCCTTTAATCTAATCCTAAATGGGCTAACCCACTTAAAAACACTGTGTGAAGACTGCTTCAAAGCTAGATCTCCCCCAGGAAAACAAGTGATGAAAGCTTGTGCTTAAAAAAAATAATAATAAAATAAATTTTTGAAAAAAGGGAAGAGAGAAAGTTTGTGTTCCCATCCATGGGCTCAGCTGTGTGTCTGTTGTGGTCTATGGTGAAAGCAAGAGCAGCCAGCCACAGTGGGTAGACAGTGACCACAGATCAGATCTTGTGGCCCGTGGTTAGGGGAGTTACTTTGTTTAGCAGCGCAAGGGTTTCATCACACAGAACCAAACTCATAAGCACATGACAGCACAGAAGAAAATACCTGCCAGGAGCACAGAAGAACCTTGCGGGACATGATTGGAGAACCCCAACCCATCCAGTGTTTCCCACACCAGGGTGCAGGAACAGGGTCTGGGGTTCGAGGCAGACAGGACAAGGGATAGCATGTCCCAGTGGACAGGTCCTCAGACCTCCCTACTCCTCAGGCTGCCACTCTGGAGCAGACACCAGAGACTGCTTACAGCTCAGGGAACAGTGGGCAGACTGAGAAGGCGTCTGTAAGCCCAGCCTGAAGCCACTTTTCAAAGATAAAGTAAGGATCCTCCATGTAAGAGGTTCAATACATAGCCCCGGATGGATCTGAGGCTGGAGATGCAAGGGAAAAGAGGGGCCCTGGGGGCTGCATGGAAATAGACTGTCCCCCATGGGCAAACCGTGAGAAAGATATAGTTGTTTCAAGAAGGGTCCTGAAAAGGTGTAAGAGGTAAGGATAAATTCAAAAGCATGAGAAGAAAGTCAGAGGTACAAGTGGTGGTAGAAAGGGCTCAAGTGTGGTCTAGACCTGAGGCTGCTGGGCAACAAGGGTGAGGGAGAGGACAGATGCCCCACAGTTCTTGAGACCCATCATGTGCCTGCCTTTGCAGGAACTCCTGCAAAGGACACTCCTTCCCACTGCCTTCTGCTCTAGCCATAAGTCAGCCTGGCTGAGCTGCACTGCCCCACAATGCCCTTTGACCTCCCAACCTGCTATCTAACCTGCAGCCCTGGGGCAGAGGCTTATATACACATGGCACATAGTGCCCCAAAACAGAATGGAACCCACACTCACGCTTCCACTCTTCAAGGGTGCGGTCTACGTCATCAAAGGAGTCATCGTATTTCTGGACCTTGGGCTCATCCTCAGTGTCCCGAAGGGACTCAAAGTATGGGTGGGCTAACGCCTCAGCTGCTGTCACCCGCTGTTCTGCATCTAGCACCAGCATCTTCTCCAGGAGGCTCACAGCTGTGGGAAGAGCACATCAGGCCAAACCACCAGGACAGGAAACACTCACACAGCAACCCGAAACCTTCACCCTACCTAGCCCTACCCTGAGGGCTTGCGTTGGTCAGGATGGAGGCAAAATCTTTCTTTTCCAGCTCAGGGAGGCCTTCCATGTAGTCTTTGGCCTGTGGGGGAGGAAGGGTGATCAGCAGCTCCCACACTCAAGGGCAGCCCACCACCCAGCTCCCCACTGACCTCAGCACTCTGTAACTTCTGTACAAACTCAGGAGGGGGCGTCCCTGTGACCTTCATAATCTCCTTCAGCTGGTCCAGGTCTGTACCAAGGTCAGGAACACAGTACAAAGAGCAGAGGGTGGCCCACCCAGCACCCACACCTTGGCTGAAGTCCCATGATGCTCTACATAGAAGGATACGGTCATTGCCTTTGAACAGAATCTTTCCAGTAATCATCTCCGCCATGATGCAGCCAACAGACCAAATGTCCACTGAGACAGAAGTCCCGTCAGTGCCCCCACATGCAAGGATGGCATTCATATTTGTGAGGGCCAAGAGAAGGGGACACACAAGAGACCATACATAGGAGACAAGTACACATGTCGGGAAGGGCTTCCATAGGCACAGAGCAGAGGCAGTCATTGAGAAGGGTGTCAGAGTTCATCCCTAGCTCATTAGCCTCCCAGTGGCAGTGCCTATAAATGGATCCCTACCAAGAAATGAAGAAGGGGGCTGGAGAGGTGGCTAATCAGGTAACAGCACTGGATGCTCTTCCAGAAGACCTTGGTTTGGTTTCTAGCTCCCACATGACAGCTCACAGCCATCTGTGAGTTCTAAAGAACCATCTGTCTCCAGTTCTAATTAACCCAGTGCCATCTTCTGGCCTCTGCAGGCACCAAATACATGGGTGATATAGATACAGGTAAGTACTTATACACATAAAATAATAAAATATTTTTTTTAAATGAAGGGGGCTGGAGCTGGGGAGATGGCTCAGAGGTTAAGAACATTGGCTATTCTTCCATAGGTCCTGAGTTCAATTCCCAGCAACCATGTGGTGGCTCACAACCATCCATAGTGAGATCTGGTGCCCTCTTCTGGTGCACAAGCACACATGCAGGCAGAATGCTGTATCAATAATAAATAAATAAATAAATAAATAAATAAATAAATAAATAAATAAATAAATAATTTTTTTTTTTTTTTAAATAAAGTGGGGCTGGAGAGATGGCTCAGTGCTTAAGATAACTGTCTTTTCTTCCAGATAGTTCTGAGTTCAATTCCCGGCAACCACATGGTGACTCACAATCACCTATACTGAAATTTGATGCCCTCTTCTGGCATACAGGCAGAGCACTCAAGCATAAAATAAATAAATTTTTTAAAATCTTAAAAAAGAAAGACTCTGTGTTACACCTTACATACTACAAAAGTAGTTACAAAATGAAAATGAATGGGTAAATGTGGGTGGTGTGTACTGCAGTCTTTGGATAGCCTCTTACCTGTCTGTGTGTAGCGCATCCAATTCAAGATGACCTCTGGTGCCCGGTACCACCGAGTCACCACATATCCGGTCATCTCACTGTCTGCCTGTCTGGCAAGGCCGAAGTCTAAGATCTAAAGAAGTATCAAAGAGGTGGTGTTAAGACATTGAGGACAGAACTAGATGTGGTCCAGAAGACCCTAAGAGAGCTGGGCTTGTGGTTTCCATGCCACCCTTTAGTCTTGGTCCCCCAGGATGCTGTACACTGGGCCCCACCCATCACAAGAACAATTGCTGAGGGTTCTCATCTGTTTTGTCATCCTCTGATCACCTGTAGGAGCCTCCAAATTCCCGCCCTGTGTGGCTAGAGATATTCACCCACCCTCTACTCAGGACCCATTAGCTGCTCAGCCTCTGCCCAGATATCTGAGTTCTGCCCCCTTTGCCCAGGCCAACAGTCAAGCAGGCCAGTAGGGGCCTGCTTCCCCTCCCAGTGATACCTTCAGCTCACAGTCCTCATTCACAGCAAGGTTGCCAGGCTTCAAGTCCTGAGGGAAGAAAGGTGGCTACTGTGACCACCTTCCAGAACAGGACCCAGGCAGCACTTTACCTGCCCCCCCCTGATGAAGAGCAGAGGGGCTGGGTCCCCAGGGAAGTCTTTCAACTGGGGACCATGCACATCCCTACCATACTCCTGTCTTGCCGTTTACAGGTAAGCCATGAAAGCTGGGGTTGAACACGTCTCTATAGACAGCTGGGGAGGGGCAGATGGGTAATCTCCCAGCCCCACCAGGACTCACTCTGTGGATGACACCAGCAGCATGGATGTACTGTGGAAAAGAGGGAGTTCAGCAACCATCAGCTCAGGGGGCCCTCCAAGCCACAGAGCCCTCCCCTGCCTAACCAGGAAGCTCTGCCCACCTCCCTGTGGCCACCTCAGCAAAGCCTACCTTCAGCCCCTTCAGCATCTGATACACAAGAAACTGGATTCTGTCTTCACTCAGAGTCTCGTGCTTCATGAGCTTGCCCAGATCAGTGCCCATGAATGGCATCACCAGGTAGCTGTGGAAACAAGGGATGCAGCCAATGGCTCAGGGCTAGCCCCTAAACCCAAGGGATTCCCACTGTGCCCAGTTCACACCTTGCAAGACCCTGTCCTGGTAGGTGTCCTTAAGGCATTACTCTGTAGCACTCATTCATCAGTAGCTTTGGGGTCCCACCATCCTATGGTGTCTCTACCCATACCATGCCCTGCTAGGCTTCAATCCACCATCTGGCCACACCTGTCCTTGGCAATTACACCTTCTCAACCCATGCCCACATCCCTTCTTTCCAGAATGACAGGTAGGGAGAGGGTTGCATATCAGGGTTGTTTTGTTTAGCTTCTTGGGCTTTTTGTTTGTTTTTGAGGAAAGGGCTCACTTCACAGTCCTGGCTGGCTGGCCTGGGACTCACTGCGTAGACCAGGATGGCCTCAAACTCACGGAGAGCTATCTCCTGCCTCCTGCCTCCAGCCTATTGCCTCTGCCTTCCAAGTGCTGGAACTAAAGGCCTGCACGACTACTGCACTCAGCCTTGTCTTGTTTTCATTTTATTTTTTACATGTATAGATGTTTTGCCTCCATGTGTACCTGTGGACCATGTGTGTACTGTGCTCACGGAGGCCAAAAAAGGGTATTAACTCCCTGGGACTGGAGTTACAGACACCTGAGTTATGTAGGTTCTGGGAATCAAACCCAGGTCCTCTGGAAGAGCAGCCAGTGCTCTTAACTTCTAAGCCATCTCTCCAGCCCTTGGTTTGGGGGTTTGTTTGTTTGTTTGTTTGTTTGTTTGTTTTAAGATGAATCTCATGCAGTCCAAAATGGGCTTGAACTCCTGATCCTCCTACCTCCATCACCCAAATACTGGTGCTACCACACTTCACCTCAGGGTTTTAAAATTCCTGATTGAAGGGTATCATATGCCACGTGAGCAGCCAGGCTGCACCTGAAGCTGGCATCTCGGGTCATTTAGTTGTACTGATACCCCAGGCCCTGTGAGGACCCAAATGCCAGGCTATGAGGAGAAGGTTTGGGTCTACCAGGGCATCTCAGTGTCCAGGATTACCAACAGTACATGGGAGTGGGATGAGTGAGTGAGAGCAGTATGCGTCTCAGCCCTTACTCAGGCCATGGGAAGAAGCTCTCAAGCCAACTTAGAACTGAAGCCAGTACCCAGAAGCTGCCCAGGCCCCTCCTGCCACACACAGGAATCTGGGGCAGGGGTTGGAGCCTCGAGGCATTTAGGTCAAAGGGGTATTCAGGTGGGTGGAGGGACAGACAAAGGAGAGTGGTCTTATCACCCACACCAGGTTCATAGCTCCCAGGAGCATACAGGAGTGTGGAGTAGACTGGTAAGAAGAGAGAGAGGGCAGTGTGCACCTTATCCCTCACGTGGGCTGTGACACCCCCTTTAGGGGGCTCACATATCCTACACTTCAGACATTTATATTACGATTCATAACAGCAGCAAAATTACAGATATGAAGTAGCGATAAACTAATTTTATGGTTGGTGGGTCACCACAACATGAGGAACTGTATTAAAGGGTTGCAGACTTAGGAAGGTTGAAAACCACTGGGCTATAGGGAGAAAGCCCCCAACCTGACCCAGAACCCTAAGCTGACACCTAGAAGCCATCCAGGTTCCTGCCATCCACTCAGCCAGCCCAAGCCACCAGCACTTACAAGTCTGTGAAGTCATCCAGAGTCTCATCAGGAGTGAACACATCCAGCAGTCCGATGACCTGGGGCACAAGTGCCAGATAGGATGCAGAGCACATGGGAGATGCAAGGACCCAGTGTCCCCCCAGGGTGGCACTGTACTCCAGGCAGAAAACCCACCTATAACTATCTTTGTCTCCTTCACTGTCCCCACTGTCAGCTCAGCCCCCACCCTGGTACATTTGCCCACAGACACAGGCTATTTTTGGATGCTGACAGCCGGGATACTCTAGGGGGAGGGGCAGTCTCAGGTCTGAGTTGGCTCCAGGCAGCTGAGCAATCCACCCCTCTCAGTCTTCTTTCTCCCCTCCCTTTTTTTCCCCTCCCCAATGAAACAGTCTCAAGACTAAAGTGGGGACAGAAGAAACGAATACAGGGTAGGTCCTTCTTAGGACTATCCCCTGGCTGTCTATACCTAGGGGAAACCCCATTTTAAACACAGCTTCTGGTTGATGGAATCAGACAACAGATGGACAATGTTACATCAGCTTTCCAGTACTTGGTTAGGGAACAGGACCTCTGAGGTCATGAGAGGCCTCCCTGAAGAGGGCTGCATATCCAAGTATCAGGAGGAATGAGTGGATGAGCAAAGAGAGGTCAGGTGCCTGATGGCCAAAGCTGGAGTGAAAATACCTCCAGAGTAAAGAACAGAGAGGGAGCCCAAGTGGTCAAAGCCCTGGGCCAAGGAGGAACCAAGGAGAAGACAGAGGGAGCTCAGGGAGAGGCCTTAATATCCCAGAGGAAGATTTAGCTTTGATCCATACAGCTACTAGGGAAGGGTTTTGACAAAGGTATGATGCTGCATATGCCCTCCTAGTTGCAATGAAAGAACAGACAGAAAGAGGCAAGAATAGACAGGAGGTAAAGGGCAGAGGGGTGACAACTTTAGTTATCACCACTCGGACATGAAAGACCTGGGGACAGATAAACCACAAATGTGACCTGAGAGCTGATCACACTTTGCAGAATCAACAAGGAATGGTGCCCTGGAGGTCAAGGTGGGTCCATCAAAGGAATATGACTTCTGCAGTTTTGTGGTGTAGAATGTGATCCAGAGCCAAGTACCAGAGTTTGAGAAGAAGGAGAATGAGGATAGGGCTGGCTCTGTGGCAATCACCTCTCTGGCGAGTGGGGCATACAGCCTGTCCAAACCTCAGTTTCCACATGGGAAGGTAGGTTACAATGGAAGCAACCCAGAAGGTACTGAGGTATCCTGAAAGCAACCATAGCTACCCAGAAGGTGTTAAGGCCCACAGCCCTTGGTTGGAGAAGGATACAGGGATAAGTAAGTGGGTGGGTGGGAGTTGGGGGCTCTGAGGATAGGGGTGGCTACACCCAAGAAAACAAAGGGTTTTGTTGTTTTCTTGGTTTTGGTTCTTTGGTTTTTGAGCAGGGTTTCTCTGTGTAGCCCTGGCTGTTCTGGAACCAGCTCTGTAGACCAAGGGGTCCTTAAACTCACAGAGACCCATCTAAGCCCACCTCCTGAGTGGTAGGATTAAAGGCATGTGCCCCTCCAACTCTAGTTGCACTGTTTGCTTGTTTTATTTTACTGTTTACAGCTTAATTGGGAAGTGGGGAAGCAGACATAGCAGGACTACTGACCATCCACCAGATCGCGCACGTGCAGCAATGATGAAGCACTGGGGGTCAGTTTGCTGTTAGCCACAGGGAGTCCATTTTCCCATGGGGCTATTGACTCTGATGATGCAGGACTGGGCAACTGTCAGGACTAGGGCAACTGTCCAGACGGGAAGTGGGAGGGACAGAACTCACAGCCTCAGGAAGAACCGTATCAAGAAAAAAGGCCCCTGGCCGAGAGAAGGGCTCTGATGGGTAGCAAAGGTGATGTGGGAGGCACAGGGACACTGCCAGTGCAGGTAGGACCGGAAACAAGATGCTTTCCCTGACAATTAGAAATACACACCCACAAAGGTGACAAAATGACCTGTATCTCAAACTCCTTTATCCACAGTGACCCGAGGTTTGGTCTGGTCTCTGCCTCCACTTCCCTCCTGGAAGCTGCTGATAGCTTACCCAAGCTGTGGGCTAACTAGGTGGAAGACACCAGGCCCCTGGAAGCAGAGGCAGTGGGCAGGATTTGCCGGGGAGGGCAGGGTGAGAGGCAGCCAGTGCACAATGTCCCGCATCTGGGGCGGGCCTTGGACTCACGTTCTCGTGGCGCATGTGTTTGAGGAGGCGCAGCTCTCTGTAGGCGCGCTTGGCAAACAGCTCCGACTGGAAGGGCCGGTACAACTTCTTGATTGCCACCTTGCTGCCAGTGCGGCTGTCTACCGCAGAGCTGCGGGGCGGACAGCTTGGCTAGCTAAACCCGCCCGGTAATCGCCAGCCGCTGCCTGCCCCGCCTGCCGCCCCGCCCGGCAAACGCTCACCACACTGCACCATAGGCACCAGAGCCAACTGGCTGCAGGTCCTGGTACACGGCGCGCACCTCCCAGGCCGTTTTGGTCACCTCCTGGCGGTAAAAGCCCTTACGGGCGGGTGGCGGGGATCCCATCCCCAGCCGCAGCACCGCACCCCAGGACCCGGCCCGGGATCAGTGGGCTCCGTCCGCGCGCCCCAGGTCACTGCGTGGCAGGTCGGGCTCCGCGCCGGCCGCTCGCCTCTGGGACTTTCCCTTGGAGGCGTTCCCTTGCGGGTTCTTCTCTCGGGGTCGTCACCCTGAACTTTCTGTAACCGCCAACTCCTACCCGACCCTTGTTTCTGACCGGCAGAGTGGTCCCTCCCGGCCCACTGACCAACCGGCCCCGGAGCCCTGAGCACGTGATACCCCCGCCTGCCCTCCGGCCCCTGCGGAAACCGGAGGAGGCCTCCGTGGTTGGGCGGAAGGCTTGGAAAGGGGGGGTTGTGTGGGTAGAGCTGCCCCATAACTCGGCTCGACCTGTGGCGGGAGGCGGCGCTGAAACACTCTGGCTGGCCTCTACCCTGGCTAGACTTCTTGGCCCTGGGGTCCTAGCAGGTGCCTCTTTGTATTCCAACCTTTCCTGACCTTCTGGGCCCATTCTAGGCAACTTGAGATCACCAGCTTCTACTCCAGACCCAGGTCAGGTCCACCTGCCCATACACCAATCATACCCCACCCAATTGTTTTCCTGTTCCTGGCTCAACTTCCCATCTTTCCCAAGGATGCCCACCCCTGGGGCTGGTCCATTCATCTGTGTCTCTATGGAGTAGGGATTTGGATGTCTCCCTAACATCTCCGGTTGTATCCCCAACCCCACTGTGGCCACTGACTCCCAGCTTCCCAATCTAGGAACCAGAGGTATTGGTCCCTTGCATCTCTGTTCCCTGCTCCCCAACCTGATAGGTGGAGTGCCTGCTTCAAGCATTGAACAGGACTGGTCTCTCTACACCCCACCTGTTGTCCAGTCTGGACTTCAAAGCCCAGAATGAGCTAAAGGTGTGCCTGCCCCCAGGAAAAATAGGGGATCCTATGTGGGCTTTCAGCTTGATGCCTCCTTGAGCTATAAGGTGCTTCTGGAGGGTGAAGCCAACATCCCTCCTATAGCCCAGGAACCAAAGTCCATTCCAGGATCCCACTGGGTTGATGAGTAGTAACAAGATCCCCAGAACCCTCTTCCCCTCCCTCCATGCCTGCCTGCCTGCCTGCTGCCATGAATCAGCAGCTCAAGGCTAGCCAGGGCAGCTTTACACCTGGGCTGCTGCTGGTGATATGGCCACCCACAAGCTGACAAGAGGGAGCAGGGAAGCTCTGAGCCACTCAAACCACATCTGCCTGTATCCTGTGCCCTTTGTGCCTAAGCAGGCCTCTAGCCACCCACCCATATCCTCCAAAAAGCTCCCCAGCTTCCCTCCTTGTTCTGTAGGGGACTAATCCAAACCAGGCTTTGGAACTGGGGCCATGTATTAGGTTCTGTTGGAACTCCCAATCCCCAAAAGTGAACTTGACTCTCATCTTTTAGATTTTCCTCCCTGCACCAGCTGCCAGGCTAAGGCCTCTGGAGGTCCAAAATTCAGGACATGGGCATGATACATGAGCTGTATCCTGAGCTAACGTAGCCTTCATGCCTTACTTAACCAGGAAGGAAAACAAAAAAGCTACTTCCCATGTCCTGTCCAATCCCTGAGGAAGAACAGACCTTTACTCCAGAGACAATCTCACCCCATCATCTCACCCCAGAGCCAGCCCCACCAGTAAGTAAGGAGGAGCCAGGCCTGTCCACTGAATCCCAATGTACATAAAACTGCAAGGACCAAAGTGTGACGGCTATTACACCATTTTCCCCCTTTTAACCTGTGGGTCTGTGCACTGGTCTCCAGGGTTCTTGACCCCTCCAAGGAGCTGTGGTAGAACCAGAAATGACCACTGCTCTCACTGAGTGATCAAGGGGCACAATGCAAAGTCTGTGGGGCTAGCTGGAAGTGTACCAAGCACGGAGGTCCAGCCACCCCTCCAGGAAGCAGGAACGGCACAAGCAACGGGACCTGGAGCCTTCCACACAAGAGCAAGAGGGAAACCCCTTTATTGTGCACGCTCGGTGCAGGCACTTGACATCCAGAATCCCATGGTCCCTGATAGCAAGAGATCGTCGTCTCTACAGGGAGGAGCCACACCCCCAACATGTCTTCAAACAAGGTCCCACTTCACAAGTTACTTGGTCAGCTCCTCTCTGGGGAAAGGGAAAAAGGGATGACTCACAGACCACAGCACCCCAGACCAGCTGCAGAACTACAAGGGTAGGTGGAGGTAGAATGTGGGCAGACGTTTGTCAGCTTTGAGTCAAGGTCCAGGGGCAAGAATGTCCAAGTTCATATCCTTGGGTGCTAACCACCGAGCATTAATGAGATTAGAACCCCTTACTTCACCAGCTTCCCAGCTGGCACTGTGTCCTTTGTGCTTCAGGATCCTGCTGCAGCTCCCACACTCTAGCAAAAACTCCTGGCACCTCTCAGAGCCTTTAGGCTAGTTCACAGCTGGGAGCGGGGAGGGAAGAGTGCCTCCAGCTTGGGTGCCATACCAGAAATGGCTGCTGACTCACAGACTCATACACACCAGCACGGTTCTGCCTGTGCTCTGAGGTGCACACCATGAGTGCACACTCATGCCCATTTGCCCACATATCTCAGGCAAAGCTGCAGCAGGCTTTTCTGATCAGACATCCCCCAGGGGGAACTCAACTCAGTTGGGTGGGGCACTGGCCCTGCCTCAGCTTTCAGCCACTCATTTCCAGGTTGAGCAGCTCCATCTACAGTGACTGTCCCTCCCTTGGACACTCCAGGGACCCTGGCCCATTTGCCTTCCTCCTAATCCAGATAGTCCTCAAGAACAGAAGAGATCTGGGCGGGGACAGGGACAGACTCAGATGCCACACGCTGAGGTCCCCAGGAGAATCTGGGTGGACCAAGCCAGGTCCAGAAACACTACTGCTCAGACTCCAGACACATATTGGTGGGCATAGGTACACATCCGTGCATTCGTGTGTATATGTGTAGAGTCCTCTCAAGGCAAAGGGATCCCAGGTTAGGTGTCAGGGCTGCCTGAGAGGCACCTCTTGAGGAAGACTGGAAAGCTGAAGAAAGGGAACAGGCTCAGGCCTCCCCTCAGGCACTGCCTCACTGCTCAATCTCATGGCTGCCAGGTAGCTGGGATGGCTCCAGGGGCTTGAAGCTAAGGACTTCTTGGTAAGTAAGCTCTGAGGGAATGAAAAAAAGGGGGGGGAGGTGAGATTATGCCATGCACCCACAGCCTAGCTCCCATCTGCATGTGTGGCATCTGCTTCCCAGCCCATATCCATCGTTAGGCTTAAACCAGAGCCTGCCCCGCACTGCCCTCCAAACCTCTGCTATACACACATACATATACATATACATATACATACACACACACACACACACACACACACACACACACACCTTTATATGTCCCACTCTAAAGTACAGGCATGCCCCTCCCCCCAGACCACTGGCGAAGTTCTGTGGAGTTTCTTGTGTGAAACAGGTAAAAAATCTTGCGCTGAGAAAAGGCAGCCCTCAAACTCTTGAGCACTGTTCCCTCTCCCACAACCCCTAGCCTGTGCTCACCCTTCCACTCCTCCAGTGTGCGCTCCTTGGCCTCGACACTTTCATCATAAGGCTCGGCCTCTGGCTCATCGTCAGGGTCATGATACTGGCTAAAGTATGCATGGGCCAAGGCTTCCGCTGCACTGACCCTTTGGTCACTGTCTAGCACCAGCATTCTTCCAAGGAGGTCTATGGCTGCAAGAGTGAAAGTTAACACAGAGCCGGCGCTGGATCTGAAACCCAACCTAGACCCAGTTCCAGTCCTCACCCAGAGGGTTGGCTCCATGGAAGACACTGCTGAGGTCCTTCTGGGGCATGGGGGGCAGAGACTGGATATATGTCCGGGCCTGGAGACACATAAGAAGGGCTTGGAGGGCTAAGTACTCTCTACTTTCCCTGGTCCCAAACCCCTCCATTTCCCTGGCCCCAAACTGCATAAAGGGCCTTTCAGGAGACAGCCTTGATCATTCATTCCAACAGGCCTGCTAGGCGTCCCAGCAAGCCAGAACAGTTTGTCAGTGTTGGTAATTTTGTCTTCACTCTCTCCTACCAGGAATATCCTCCTGGCTCACCTGCTTCCCCCTGAAGAGATTGCATGTGCCTAACACAAGGTCCATCCCGCCCTGCCCATATTCCCCACGGGATGCCCGTTTGTCTGCATCCTACCCCGTCCCCGACATGACTGGTGCTTGGTCGGGAGAATGAACAGACAGCCGGATGGCCACTAACTTACGTGCTCCGAGGATATCTTTGCCAGAACCTCAGGGCTGGGTGTGCCCACCACCTCCATGATTCGCTTCAGCTGGTCGATGTCTTCCTAGCTCAGGAAACACCTGGTGGCCAGCCTTTCCAGTCCCAGCCCCTGATACACTGTGGAGCTGTGGCTCAGGACAGGGACCCCCATGCCATACGGCAAAGGGCAGAAGTAAGACTTCCAAAGAGGGCCAGACTCCACTCCCACACTCCTTCCTGCAGAAGGGGCCCCCAGCTTGACCCTGCTCCCCAAGGATACAGTCGTTCCCAGGAAAGAGGGCCTTTCCTTGCAGCAGCTCAGCCATGATGCAGCCCACAGACCAGATGTCCACTGTTGGGAGAGAGTAAGGAGACTCAGTCTGCCCACATCCTTCCTGTGGGGGTGGGGCAGCCAGCCCAGTGACCCTCAGTCATAGCCAGGATCAAGAGAGCAGCCGAGCCCTGAGAAGAGGTATGAGGGCACCCACCAAGTTAAAACGCCTTTCTAAAGGCTGGTCCCACCAAGTTCTTGCTCCTCCCTCAGAGCTCTGTAATTTTCCCTAAACCGTAGTGTGAGCACAGCCTGAGCACCCTCACAGGACAAGGCCACGCTGAGGGTCGACAGAACCTGTCTGGTTGTAGTGCATCCAGTTCAGCATGATCTCTGGTGCCCGGTACCACCGTGTGGCCACGTATCCAGTCATCTCCTCATCAGCCTGGCGCGCCAGCCCGAAGTCCAGGATCTGGAGGACCACGGGTATTGTGTAAGACGCCTACCTCTCTGTGCGTCCCTGCTGTCCATACAGCCCTCCCCATCCTTACCCTCAGCTCGCAGTCCTCGTTCACTGCTACGTTGCTGGGCTTCAGGTCCTGCAGGGTGGGCGTGGCGTGAGTGCTGCGGCCACGCGCCTAGGCAGAGTGGCTGACCCTCACCCTCGCCCACCGCTGCACCTACCCGGTGGATGATGCCTGCCGAGTGGATATACTGCAGGGGAGGGCAGACCAGGTGAGCCCAGGTTCCATCCCGCTCTGCCCCAACCCAGAGCGGTCCAGGGAACCCCAGAGCCCACGCGCCCCCACCTTCAGCCCACGCAGCAGCTGGTAGACCAGGAACTGAACATGCTCATCGCTCAGTGCCTGACACTTGACGATGTTATTCAGGTCGGCGCCCATCAGGGTGGTCACCAGGTACCTGCGCCAGGGTCAGAAGTTAGGACAGTGTCACGCCACCCCCTCCCCGACTAAGCTCCCAAGGCCACCGCCGGGCCTTCCCAAGCCGCTCACACTTCGCTGAAATCCTCGATGGAGGTGGCCGGCGTGAAGACGTCCAGAAGCCCTATGACCTGATCAGGGAACGGAGGAGGCAGGACCACAGTTCAGCTGTAGGCAACGCCCCGCTGGTCTGGGCCCCGCCCACGCGCGGGGCGTGTCCCCCAAAGGCCCCGCCCCGATATCTTCGCTCCCGCCCCCACCAGGCGGCGTCCGTTGTTCGGTCCCTACACCACTGGCCTGCCCTCTCACGTTCTCATGCTTCAGGTGTTTGAGTAGGCGCAGCTCACGGTACGTCCTCCTCGCATGGATCAGCGATTGGAAAGGGCGAGACAGCTTCTTCACAGCCACCTTCTGGCGCAACCGCGCGTCGTAGGCCGAGCTGCAAGGTGGGCGAATGAGAGGACGCGCGAGCGCCTGGCCTGAGTTCACCCTACACCAGCGCGGGAGCGAGGCTCTGCGGCTGGCTCCAAGGAGGCCTGTCCCTGCCTGTTCACCCAACGACGTCTCCATGCCACCCCTCCTGGACGTCCCATAGAAGACCCCCTTGAGTGGACTCAGCGCTCTCTGGCAGAGCTTGTATCTTCTCCCGTGATTCTAGGCCCCACTCACAACGAGGCCAGGGCATGAAAAACACGCCACGACTATGCCCACAGGTGCGCCCTCAGCAAGCAGCCCTCCACCTTCACGCCTGTAATCCCAGCTCTTGGGGAGACTGGGGCAAGAGAACTGAGGCGAATTCAAGACCAGCCGGGAAACCTACTGAGACACTGTTTCACAAACAAACATTTATAACTGAACAACTAACTGGATTGTAGGAAAAGTTCAGCCTGGCTGTATATGTGTGTGTGGGGGGAGGTCTAGCTCTCTGCCACTCCCCAGAAACTGGACGCTCCACTTCTGCACCTCCTCACCCTTCTGTCCTTCACTGGAGAGCTTCAATGAGCGAATGAGAACACGCCCTCTCTATGGGCTTCAAGACCAGCAGGGCTCATCTGTGGTCATAGGGCTTTCTCCCAGGCTCTGGTCCCTCTGCCCTCAAGACTGGAGAATCCATGAAGCCATCGAAGGAGCCCTGCTGGCCACAGCACCTTGACACAGCCTGTTCCCCAGGCGATGCTTGTCCCTTCCCTCCCTCTTGACTCTCTGCCTCTCAGGGTGCACCCCTCCCTTGCAGTGAATGGAGACAAGACACCAGCCATTCCAACCATGAATGGAGGGAAGCTGGGGAGGAGACATGGTGGGTCTGGGATGCTCATGGGACTAGAAAGTAGTGGAGGAAAGGTGATTCCCTGTGATAAGCAGATGTCTTCCTCCTGGGGTGAGGTGTGAGGGCAGCGGCCACTGGACCATCAGATCCCCTGACCTGATGTCATCGTACAGTCAAGTTACAAGGACTTGGCATCCCAGCACCTGCCTCAGCAGTGCAGTCTGTCTCCACAGTGGAGACAGACCTCGGCTTCACTCGGGAAATCTGACTATATCCCCGCAGCTCCTAGATGGTCGGCCCACAGAGGATTCCGTCTGAGTCAATACCCAAGTGCCCTGCAAGGTGTCTCTCCCCCCCCACCCCTCCCCCTTCCCTCCCCCCCTCTATCCAATTGTATTATTTTTTTTAATGGGATTTCTAGTAACCTCACCCTCTCCCCCTTGCTAAGCCCCTGGGCATCTCAGACACAATGTGTCCTATCATCTCTTCCTCTGTCCTACTCCTAGGGTGGGTGGGGGGCAGGGTGTGTGGGGAGGTGTATCCTGTCGCTCGCTACTCGCTGTGGAGGGTACAGCCTGAGAGGAAGAGAAGCAAGAAGGCGATAAGGAACAAGAGTCAACGGGAGAACAAGTTTACCCATCTCAGGGTGGTGGGATTACAAGTCACAGACAGGAGATACCCAATCCCATGCCCAGCTCGCTGTGGGCCCTGTAAAGCACGACTGTTTTCTTCTATAAGACTTCTATAAGCCCTGCCGTGGACCGGAGATCTGACAGAGGCTTCTGATAACAGCACAAGATCCAAGATTTGAGCCTCAGCCCCCATTCCAGGTGCTGGAGTGTGGGGCACGCACCCGTGTCCACACCCTTGATCAGCCTGTCAAAAAGGACTGTGACCATTCTCCAATCCCAGCTGTCTGGGACGTGGCTTCAGCCAGCCTGGACTCTGTCTGGACTCTAACCTCTGGTCCCCCTAACTTCGGGACTATATTCTAAAATCTTTTGTTGGGTGTGGACAAGACAGTAGGTGTCTGCTTAGGCTCGAGCCGCTGTCTAAGACTCCTAGGAAACTGGGTGGGGTGGGGGAGTAGCATCCACAAGAGAGTTTGATGCCTTTGGAAGAAGAGAGGTCTCCTCACCGCGCTGGGCGCCCCCTTTTCAAACACTCAGGTCTGGGAGCACGTTAGACCCCGCAGCTACTTAGACCTGGCCCAAAATAACCCGGATGGCTGTTCCATTTAGCGGCCCCAGAGACTTGCTCTCCCGCCAGCTGTGACGCCGCAGGATTCGGCCTTTCTGGGAGAAACTAGGGCTCGGAGATGGGGAGGGGACATCAGAGGACCCCCCCCTCCCTGCCAGCGAGTGGAATCTAGAGGGAAAGTTTCCTCCGTGTCCCTCCCCGCCCCCTCCCATTCATTCCTGGGAAGCGTGCAGGCCGGGGGCGGAGGCAGGGCGAGGCCCCTCCCCACGCCGGGAACCCCACGTCGCGCTGGAGGGTCGCGCACACTTTCCCGCCCATCTCCGACCAGATCCTTGCCAGCCCCTACCAGACCGAGCCGTAGGCGCCGGAGCCCACCGGGCGTAGGCCCTGCAGCCGCTGAGGCACCTCCCATACGGTTTTGTTCAGCTCCTGCCGGTAGAATCCCGCGCGCGGACCCGACATGTCCGCAGCCGCAGCCGGAGCGAGCGCCCCGGAGCCCCGCGTAGCACCCGGCCCGCGCCCGACGCCCAGCGCCGCTGAGCAAAGCGGGGTGGGGGGTGGGGGGCTGCGGCGCCGCAGGGCGGGGCGGCGGGGCGGGGCCGAGGCCCGGCGGATTTCCCCAGCCTGGAGACCGGGAGCTGGGAAGCGGGGGTGGAGCGGGGGGCGGGGTGGGAGGTGGGGGGTTCCCGGAGACAGGCGCGCAGCTTCCTGCCCCGCGGAGACGGCCACAAAGGAGAAAGCCGTCTTCCCTCCCGTGGGGGTGACGGGCGGAGGTCTTGCTTGTGTTTTCCACCGTCTGCATGCCACGCACTACCCCTGCCCTCCCCCGGGTCCCAGCCCAGCCTCCTTCCTCAAAAAATGAGGGGAAATTGTCAAAAGCGAGCTTGAGCACGTGGTGATAATACTTTGACAACAAAATACTAGCCCAGAAAAAGGCTCTAGGTTAAAAAAACAGCGCCGGGGACCCCTGCGGGAGGCGCGTTGTGGCCTGGGCGAGGACGACACCTCCTTTTGGCATTAGTGGTACACTTATTTTGGTAACAGCCTTCAGGAGGACATCTGCCGGGCATCTTACCCTAACCTCGGTCTAGAAGCTCCTGGACGAGGTGAGCTCCCGGCGGGCAGTCAGGACCAGGGACAGCAGCAGCACCATGTTGGGGCCAGAAGGTATGGTACCCAAATGGATCTTTGTTGGTGTTGGGTATTTTTCCTCCTTACGGAGCACTCACCTCACTGACATTCTCGAAAAAAAGACCCTAGGCCTGACTTTCTCCAGCCTCCAGCTCAAGGCGGCCCAGGAGGTCTGCCAACACAGGTAGGCAAGGCTCAGTTTGCCAGCAAGCCTAGAAAGCTCCCTTTTCCTGGTTTCCCCACCAGTGTGGCACTCTAGACCAGTGGTTCTCAACCTGGGGGCCAAGACCCCTCTTAAGGTCAAACGACCTTTTCTCAGAGATTGCCTAAGACGGTCAGAAAACACAAATATTTATATTATGATTCATACCTTTCAAAATCAGTTGTGTAGCAATGAAAATTTTACAGTTGGGGATCACCCCACCATGGGGAACTGTGTTAAAGGATTGCAGCATTAGGGAGGTTGAAAACCTCTGCTCCAAGATCTACTTTTATTCACTTGAAAGTAAATATGGAACTGTGTGTGTGTGTGTGTGATGTTACAGGCCTTTAATCCCAGCACCAGGGGTCAGAGTCAGGAGGATCTCCGTGAGTTCCAGGCCAGCTTGGTATATATCTTGAGTTCCAGGATAAGCTAGAGCTATGTAATAGTGAAACTCTGTCTCGAATGAACCAACCCTCTCATCTCCCAATAAAGTGAATATGGGTCTAGTATAGTGGCTTTGCTCTGAACTTCAAATGTTTGGGAAGCTGAGTCTGGAGGATCACAGCCAGTTCAAGACCTACCTGGGCTACCTAGTGAATTTGAAGCCACCTGAGCTGCAGAGGGAGACCTTGTTTCCAGGCAAAAAGAGAAGGAAGAAAGAAAGGTAGGCCAGGTGTGGTGGCACACATCTTTAATTGTAGCAAAAGCAGAGGCAGAAGGATCTCTGAGAATGAGGCCAGCAATAGTGAGGCCTTGTTGGGGGAGGGGGGAAGAAAAGACAATGAACATAGGTTACAGGAGCTTTGCATCCATTGAAAAGTGGCTTCTGACCCTGAGCCGTGGGGAGTGAAGCACCAGGGTTTTCTGGCAGGGTCACCTCATCCCAGGAAAGCAAGAAATCAGGTCTGGAGTTTCTTTCTTTTTTCTTTCTCTTTGAGCCAAATACTTAACAATCTGGGGATTTCACCCATATTCAAACCTGAATTTCTAAATTCTTTTTTATTGTTTTTATGTGCAGTAGTGTTTTGCCTGCATGTATGTCTGTGTAAAGGTGTCAGATCCCCTGGAACTGGAGTTAGACTTATGGGTGCTTGGAATTGAACCCAGTGCTCTTAGCCACCGAGCCATCTCTTTACACACACACACACACACACACACACACACACACACACACACATACCCCGTCCTGAACCTCTTTTTAAAAGCAAATCTGAGTTTTAAATGAAAATCGGGGCTGGGGTGTAATTCAGTAGTAGTGCACTTGCCTAACAGAGTGAGGCCCTGGCCTGAACCCTCAGCCCAACGAAATCTTTATAATAGTAATAAAATATAAGTTAGAAATTGTCACCACAGGGCTGGAGAGATGGCTCAGCGGTTAAGAGCACTGTCTGCTCTTCCAGAGGTCCTGAGTTCAATTCCCAGCAACCTACACGGTGGCTCACAATCATCTATACCTTCTACTGCCCTCTTAGAGCACTAATATGCATAAAATAAATAAAATCTTCAAAAAATTTGTCAACCGGGCCGGGTGGTGGTGAGTGCCTTTAATCCCAGCACTTGGGAGGCAGAGGCAGGTAGATCTCAGTTTGAGGTCTGCCTGGCCTACAGAATGAGTTTCAGGACAGCGAGGACTACATAGACAAACCCTGTCTTGAACAAAAACAAAAAACAAAACAAAAAATTGTCAAACAAACCAGAGCAAGCCAGTGAAGTACCAGGCCACTAGAAGCATCTACCGTATATCCTGAAATATAAGGGGCACACACAGGTGGCCAAGGAAATAGGTCTAAGTCTCAGTTTCTAGCCCCTCTCACTCAACTTTGCCCAAGCCCCAGGACATTCTTGGAGTCAGCATCCCCTCTGGGAGCCATTATTAATCCTGGAGTCTAGCAGAACCTGAGGATGGCCCCAACCCCCACTGCTCAGGGCAATAAAGCTCAGAAGCCACCTTTCCCAGGGGTGGGTTGAGGTTTTGTGCAAAGCTAATGGAGCTTCAGCTAAAGGCAGAGGAGGAGGGGGAATTGAGCCAGGGTGATGGTAGGGGGTTGGGAACCTTGCCTGCACAGTGGCCAGGGGGGAGGGTAGTGGCCTTTGTCTGTACAGCAGCAGGGCAGGGCCAGGCAGTTACCAGGGCAACCTGCTTGTCTCCTCCACAGTCCCAAGGATGCCTAGTTTGGCTCAACTGCAAAGTGGAGAAGGGGCCTGGATAAAGGCTTAGGAAAATAGCCACCTGCCCAGGAGAGCTTCAAACCACTTGCCCTGACCACTGCTCCCCAAGTCCAGGTGGTCAGAGCTGGACCACTGTTATCGAAGGCCTCGCCAGGCTCTCACACAATGGTGACTTGCTCATTCTCAGCCAAACCGCCCTGGACACCCTTCCCCAACCTGGTGTGTCCAACCAGGAATGAGCTAATGGTGAGACAGTATTATAGAAAGGCAGATTTATTGGGAGCAGCAAGGGAGGGGGAGATGGTGGGGCAAGCTTGCAAGAAAGAGGTAAAGAGTGGAGAAGAGAGGGGTAGGGGGAAAGGAAGATAGGGGCAAAGGGAAGGGAGAGAAAGAGGGAAGGGCAAGGGCAAAGGATGGGAGGAACCAAAACGTCTGGATTATATACTGAAAAGCATCTTGGAGAGGAAAGCCCCACCCCTAGGTAGAGGGCTATGTTAGGCCCTGCAACAGGTAGGGACCTAACATCCAGGACCATCTTCACCATCTGCTGTGATATAGTGCCACCCCTAAATACAAACTCCAACTTCATTTGCCCCGTATGCCCAAGCCCCTTTCTCATTAGACAGCTGTGACAGTCCCCCGGTGGCTAGCTTGCCCACTTCCACTCAGATCCCAGATTCTGCCAGTGGTCAGAATGCACATTGTAAAGAATAAACCAGGAAGGGGCTGATTTAGGGATAGGTGCTGAAAGTTACCCCAGCCCCTCCCCAGTCTCTGGTATGGTGGAAAAAGAATGAGGACATACAGAAAGGAGAGCAGGTCATCCCTGGGTTTGTTGGTAATTTTGCTTCAGCTCAAGGCTGGCCTTGTGCCCCTCCCCATCCATAAACATCCTGACATACTGTTTTTAACTCTTGCTGGTTCCCAGCACACACTTAATGAACACCCCCCCTGGAACCTGTTGGGGTCCCCAAGCTTAGCAGTGTGTATGTTTCTATCCAGTGAGAAGATGGTCTTTAGAGGGCCATTCTAGAAGCCAGGCCTCAAGGTTCCCAGTTCTTTTATCCCAGCTCTGCATTCTGAGACATGACCCCTTCACCCCTGCTGACTTGGTAGCACTTTGTTTAGAATTCCTGGCCGGCTACATTTCTGGGGTAGAGTCTGTGTCAAATCACAGTAGCAGCATCGCTTCAGAGGCCTGTGCTGGGGGATACTGGCTGTTGGCCTTGCATCCCCTCCTTGGAGAGACAGCTACAGAGGGAGCTCATGATAAATCATGGCCCTCCCCACAGCAGGACTCTCCAGGCATAGGATGCATTTTGGGACTAGTTCAGAAGGACGGGACCCAGAGACAGCATTTGGATTCAGCCCAAACCAAACTGGATCACTTCGCTTCCTGTTGTGGAATCCTGATTTGAGTAGGTATCTGGAGAGCGTGGGAGGCTCCCGAAGGGCAGACCCACTTGTCCAGCTCGCTGCTGGGTTCTCTGTCTAGTACAATGCCCATAGCACAAGTGCTTTCAGAGCTGGGTATGGTGGCACACACCGTTAGTCCGAAAGACAGGGGCAGGCAGGTCTGAGTTCAAGGCCACTCTGGTCTCCAAAGCAAGTTCCAGGCAAGACCAACAACAAAATCCTTGTGGAATGAATGAGTCTCCCTCACTGTGTGTGCACATCTCATTTTAACTCACACTAGCACTAGAGTACTATCTGGACTTCTGTTCTGGGGATTAGGAGCAATCCTCTTTCCTACTGTGATGGTCTGAAGAACAGCGCCACAGGCTCCTGTCTGAATGATCAGTCCCCATGGTGGACTAAAGATGAGGAGGTGTGGCCTTGTTGGAGGAGCCTTGTCACTGGGGGTGAGGTTTCAAAAGCCCATGTCAGTTGCAGTCCTCCCCACCCCTCAGTCTCCTGTCTATCTCTATCCCTGTTTGCACTTTCAGGCCAGATATGAACTCTCAGCTACTGCTCCCGGCGCCAGGCCTACCTGCCGCCATGCTTCCCA